ATGTTTCTTGATTAACAGATCACCGAGGGCAGCACTAGATGAGAAAGTATTAGAGGAGGTATGGACAGACAGTGAGGTAGACTACTCTGGTTTGAGAGTGTTTGGATGTCCAGCCTATGTACATGTTTCTTGTGAGGAGAGGTCGAAGCTTGATGCGAAGTCTAGACAGTGTATCTTTCTGGGATATCAGAAAGGAGTGAAAGGTTTTAAGCTCTGGGATCCGAAGGCAAACAAGATGGTGATCAGTAAAGATGTGGTTTTTGATGAAAAAACCATATTGCAGTGTACTCAAGAAAAAGAGAAACAAGTGCCAGAAAACTATAGCACTAATGAGCATGTGGTGTGGGTGGAGCTAGAGAACCATGGTAGAGAAGAGGATGTTTAACATGTAGAGAGTTCTATCTCAGGTGATCAGCAACATCACAGTATAGCCACAGAAAGGCCTAAACGCAATATCAAGCCGTCTACCAGGTATGATTTTGAAGATTTGGTTTCTTATGCACTTATTACTAGTAGTGGGGATCCTACAAATTTTCAGGAGGCAGTAGAAAGCCAAGAGAAAAGTAGATGGATGGGTGTTATGGTGGAGGAAATGGAGTCTCTGCATAAAAACTAGACATGGGAGTTGGTGGAGCTTCTTGAGGGAAAGACAGCGATAGGGGTGCAAATGAGTGTATAAGAAGAAAGAAGCAGTATCAGAAAAGGAGGGAAAAAAATTCCAGGCTCGTCTAGTAACAAAGGGTTACTCATAGAGAAAAGGGGTTGATTATGATGAGATCTTCTTCCCCGTGGTCAGACACACTTCCATCAGGACAGTGTTGGCACTAGTAGCACATTTAGATATGCAGTTGGAGCAGATGGATGTAAAGACAACTTTCCTTCATGGCGACTTGGAGGAACATAATTACATGGTACAGACAGAAGGGTTCAGTCTCCCTGGAGAGGAACATTTGGTCTGTAATTTGAAAAAATTATTTTATGGGCTAAAGCAGTCTCCGAGGCAGTGGTACAAGTGATTTGACTTTTACATGATCCGGATTGGCTACAAAAGGTGAGTATGATTGTTGTGTCTGTGTGAAAAACCTTGATGATGATTCATTTATTTTCTGTTACTTTATGTGGATGATATGTTGATTGCTGCCAAGAGTATGAGTGAGGTCAACAAGTTGAAAACTTTGTTGAGCAGAGAATTTGACATGAAGGATTTGGGTGCGGCTAAAAAGATTCTTGGGATGGAGATTCACAGGGACAGAAGTTTCAGGAGATTATGGCTATTTCAGCATAGCTATGTTGAGAATGTGTTGGACAGGTTCAACATGAGTTATGCAAAACTAGTAAGTACGCATTTGGCGAATCATTTCAGATTGTTTACCGCTCAGTGCCCGAAAACAGATGATGAAGTTCATGACATGTCAAAGGTCCCATATGCTAGTGCAGTGGGGTGCTTGATGTATGTCATGGTTTGTACAAGACCAGATTTGGCACAAGCTGTCAGCGTGGTTAACAAGTTTCTTTCAAATTCGGGTCGACAACATTGGGATGCAGTCAAGTGAATTTTCAAATACTTGAGGGGCACTACAAACTATGACATAATGTTTAGCAGACAACAGAGTGACCCTTCAGTTGTGAGATATGCGGATGTAGACTATGCAGGGGACTTGGATGATAGGAGGTCTACCACAGGTTATGTGTTTACTCTTGTGGGAGGACCTATTTGTTGGAAGTCCATGGTACAGCCTATCGTTGCACTATCTACTACTGAGTCAGAGTATATGGCAGTAGCTGAGGCTGCCAAGGAGGCTCTGTGGCTTACAGGTTTGGTCAAGGAGTTGGGTACCCAACAAGGTGGAGTTCAGTTGCATTGTGACAGTTAGAGTGCCATTTATTTAGCAAAGAACCAGGTGTATCATGCGAGGACCAAATATATAGATGTGAGGTTTTATAAGATCAGGGAGCTGATTTCTTCTGGTGAACTATTACTTGAGAAAGTTCACACTTTTGAGAATGCAACAGACATGTTGACAAAGCCTGTTACTACAGACAAGTTCAAGCATTGCTTGGGCTTGATTAATGTCTCCAGTTGCTAGATGGAAATGCCCCAACTTAGCGTCCTCGGTGGAGTTCTCGGATACATGCTCTCTTTTTTCTCCTAAGGAGTGAATATTTGTCAAGGTGGAGATTGTTAGAGTATGTGTGGCTTATATTTGCTGTGTGCACAATGACAAGGAGACAGATGTAGAAAGCGGAGCTCGCAACGGCATCTGCCTTGCGGAATTGATATATTTTATGTATGGGGGGGACGCTGATGTGGGGGTGCAGGGGCAACGCTCCCGTGGTACGGTACATAGAATATTTTGTAAATACGTCCGTACTAGGGTTATATAAATACTTAAGATGTAACCCTACTTTTAATAATGAAAAAGAATGGCCGCTCGCTCCTGTGGATGTAGGCACACTGCCGAACCACGTAAAACTCTGTGTTATTTTCTCTTACTTTCTTAATTGTTTGATTCCTTATTATTCATTATAATCGCTGCACGATCACAACACAGTATTAGTTTGTGATAAATTAAGGAATAATTAGATGATAATTATATTAAAAGATTCTGATGATAACGTATCTAACTAAATCAATCTGAATTTACATATAAAAATAAATCCATTGATTAAAAAGCAAAATCACGACACGCCTTCTAAATTCTAGTGTCCGTCGTGGAACATAAAGAAAGCATAAAGAGTCCCAAAGCACTGGGGAAATGTTTCGAGCCCCTCACTGTGTGTTCACGCTCTGATGATAGTATTTTAACACCCACCCATACAAATAAATATTGAATATGGAGAAATGTGGGCCCTTTATACAAAGAGTGGTACCAAGGATCGAGCCCAGAAAATATTATTTAGACTTTATCGGAAGAATTAGTTTAACGTGAAATTGTCGGATAAGTTTATTGAAGATTAACCTATTTTGTATTATAAATTATAGATATATGGGAGAACACAAAATATTAAAAAAATCTGACTTTTGGCGCCTTTTAACATGATGTCAAATCACCTATTTTATAGACAATGATCCCCACCTGTCAATTTAATTATGGTGATCTGTGACTATCAATTGAAAAAAATATTAAAATAAAAATATATACATGTCACATTTTTCATTGAATGACAAATTAAAAGATAGACCTATTTGTACGTGAACCACCAATTTTTTTGGTGAATAATGGGCGATTGACCTTTTAACGAAATCGATGAAAATAATTGGGTAATTACCATTGACATTCCTATACATCCATTATTCAAAAAAACACTAACACTCATTCTAGTTTATATTTAAACATCATCGACAACCTTGCTGTTAAACTACCATTTCTAATAAAAAAATTCATCTAAAACATCAAAATTGTCCCTAAATAAATTTTAAATAATTTTTTTACATAAAATTTGATTAAAATTCAACTCAATTAAAATTTATTTTTCTACGTATTAAAATTTGAACCGATTAAAATTCATTTCGAGTTAATTAAATTTTATTTTTTTACGTATTAAAATTTGAGCCTATTAAAATTCGCGCTAATTTGAGCTCAACTTGAACTATTAGCGGCGATTAAAATTCTATTTGAGTCAATTAAAATTATATTTTTTTACATATTAAAATTCGATTCAAGCTGATTAAAATTGGTTTTTTATGTATTAAAATTTTAATCGATTAAAATTTATATATTTTTTATGTATAAAAATTCAGGTTAGTTAAAATTCAATTTGACCTTATTAAAATTCGATTCGAGCTTATTAAATTTGATTTTAATCGGCTTAAATTTTAATAAGTAAAAAAATATAATTTTTAATCAACTCGAATTTTAATACAAAAAAAATGAACTTTAATTAGCTCAAACCAAATTTTAATATGCCTAAATTTTAATACATAAAAAAATTTTAAAAATAGAAGAGATCTCATTGAATATATGTTTTATTTAAAAGGTGTGGATGACTTTTTTCCTAAACATATTGTGAGCAATTTAGTAAAATTGTATTGTAGTTAACGTCATTAATCTAATATGAAGTGTCAATGATGTTTTAAATAATAGAAAAACTCTTATTAAAATATATCTATGCAGAGATGTGTGAATGATAATTAGTCAAAAAAATATTAGAGTAGTTTTTATTTCGAGAGTCCGTGAGTAACAAATGCAAATTACTTATTACTAGAGGACCTCAGTCATATATAGAGGTGGGTGGGTAGATAAGATAGGTAATGGGTCCTTCCGAGATCAACACGTGTCCTTCATCAAATAGAATCTAATAATTATATTGAATTATGTCAATATATTAGGTCCTTAAATTAATAAAAAAATATTGAATGTGACAGTTATTCTACGTTAGTAATACCACGTGGTCTAACCGATTAGCCCCCATAAAAATTCATAATTACATAGTCATGCAATACGTAACTACTTTTATTTAAATAATCCATATAAAGAAGTGAGTTTTATTTTCTCTATTTTGTAATTTTTTTATTAAATAATTATACCACGTCATATTACCAACATAAGAAAACCACTGCACCTAATATTTACTCTCAAACTCAAATTAGATAGAAGTAGCATTTTCCATAATCCATTGGCCTCATACCACATCACTTCTTTCCATAGTCCCATTCTAGTTCCATGAGGTCCTTGCTCCTATTTTTCTTTGAGTTGAGATTTAATTTATTATAATGATTGGATTAACCATGAGCTCTATTAAATATTAAAATTTAATATTAATTTAAATTATAATAAAATTATATCATTAGATCAACAAATTATTAAATTCCAAATATCATTACCTTTTTTTTTGACCTTTTCCCATGAAGGCGTAAAGGTTTTTCCCTCTTGAAAAACTAGGCCTGCTCTTTTTATATATAAAAACAAACAAGCTTCTCGTTGTCCATCAATCTTCTCAATCTTTATATTGTTTTGCCTGAGGTTGTCTCTAGTCTCATCCCAGAGGTGTAGTGGAGAGAGAGAGAGAGAGAGAGAAAGATGAAGGGGGTTTTAGAAGGAGAAGAAAGTGTTACCCTCGACCTTCTCAGGCACAAAATGGCTGAGTTTGCTAAGGAAAGAGACTGGGAACAGTTTCACAGCCCCAGAAACCTCCTCTTGGCTCTGGTAAAACTTCTCTCTGTCTCTCTAGATCTGTCTTGTGGGAGTGTGTTTGTGTTGTTGTTAGACTTGGTTTTTAGTGAGTTTTGGTCACACAAACGATTTCAGGCGAACCCTTTCGAGTATTTTTAGGATTCATAATGGACAGATGATCAGTTCAGAACAACTGTACTTGTAATAAATTATTCTCTTTTAGTTTGGATATGGATTGAAGATTTGACCAAATAAATCTATCAATAGCCCACATGAAAAATAATTAATTTCTCCAAGTTTACCACGACCTCGATTTTCTAAAACACAACTTTGTTGCAAATTGCAACTTGATTTCTTGGTGTTTCTCCTTTTTCTCTTTTCTTAAAACTCAAGGAAGTGTTTTTAAACGTGGTCTGTGAATGTTTTTTCAAGGGTCAGACCCCAACTTTTTTTTGCTTTTAGCTTTCGCTTTCTTGTCATGCCCTGAACAGAACACGATCCAACACAGTAAATCTTTGTGTTTTTTTTTTTGGACTTTTCTGAGATTTGGTCACTGTGATATATGATTCTCACAGGTGGGAGAAGTTGGAGAGCTTTCTGAGATATTCCAGTGGAAAGGAGAGGTTCCAAAGGGACTTCCAGATTGGGGAGAAGAAGAAAAAGAACATCTTGGTGAAGAACTCTCAGATGTTCTTCTCTACCTTGTTAGACTCTCTGACATTTGTGGGATTGATCTTGGTAAAGCTGCTCTTCGCAAGATTGAGCTTAATGCCCTAAAATACCCAGCTGGCCCTTGCAAATGTTCCTCCAAGAAACACAAGAACAACAACAATGGCAAGAAGAACAATGATTCAGAGGGTTAAGTGAGAGATTGTTTGATCCTCGTGGTTTTAAAAGACTAATGCTTTGTGCACCAAGTTTTTATTTCAAATTATGTGAGTCGTTTGATTTGTGAGATCGATCAACACTAATAATATCTAAGAAATTTGGTGCACGTAGTGTTACTTGGGTTTAAAATTGAGGACACTAGAGTGCGACTCTTTGGTTATTTTCTATATATGGAAATATTAGCTACAGCAGGATTTAGATGGTAGGTTTCCATATAGTACGGTCTTTATGATGGGCTTTATTTCATGGAGGCTAGTATGGGTGCATTTATTTTTCGGTGATTTTGTTACTGTTTTGCTGCTGAAACGAATCACTTTGATTGGTTTGTGAGAGATTGTAGTGATTTCCTGTTATTTTGACTATTTCCATATGATAATGTAACATTCTAGACTATGTTTAATGACTTGTTTTTCTTTCTTGTTTTTTTGTCCAAAGGGTTTCGATTCGTTTTTAGTACAACAGAGAATCTGACGACCCAGTGTTTATACTAGTTTTAACTCAAATTTAGAACGCTTACAATCACTTCAAACAGAATTCGAATATAAAATCTCCGTATTAAATATCGCTGAAATCTTATACTTTTGACATCTTCCACATAGGGATGATAATCCAGTTGTTATATGCTGTTTGAATGGCATCAGTTCTACTTTAGTCAATTTACTTAAAAATAAACATAGTGAATCGGAAACAAAAAATTATATGTTTCCTATAGACACAAATTTGACCGTGTTTGAACAAATGAATAACAACTTGACTAATCTCCTCTCAAATCCTGTTAAAGCCAGGCAAAAATTAAAATTTTGTTTCGGTGCATTATTTTGATCACCTAGAAAATAGAAACGTTTTGACTTGTTTCGAAAATAAAATGAAAAATAATAAAAATTTCAGAATTATTTTTTCAAAACATTAGTCGAAATATATCAAAAAAATCTTAAAATACCATGAAATATTCTGAAATAATTGTGTAAATGCATTGAAATATAACAAAATATTTCGAAATATTATGGAACACCCCGAAGTATTAGAATTTCAATTCCATCACTGATTCGTTTCGGTCTCCTTGAAAACAGAAACATTTAGGATATTTTGACGGTTTCGAAACGATATTTTGATCCTTGAAGGCAGGTCATCTACGAGATTAGAGTATTTATAAAGGATGTATTTCTCATGGTTTGACTTCAAAAAATTGCTAATATTCAAACTCAGAACATCTGAATAATTAGTTATTTAAACAAATTAAATCATCTAAAAATATGTCGTGTTAACTTGGAGGTGGTGTTATGTATGGACATATTCACATTAAGGGTGGCATTTCACTCATTTTACTAATTATATTCACAATAAGGATACCCTTTGAATCACACACAAGCAAAAGATTGGGTCTCACTTGTATCGGATAAGGGAGAATTAGGCTTTGTAATCGTGACAAAAACCTAACGCCCATCAAATAGTTGTTGATAATTCCAAAATCAAATTAATATGGATTAAAATTCTCTTCAAATAGTTATATTTTAAATTTTTTTCTTGACGGTTTATTCTTTATTAACAAGTGAAAAGGACTTGAATGGATGATAGATGAACGGTCAAGAATGGAATTGAGGAGAAAATATATTGGAGAGGATATAATTCCAATTAATAGGGCCGCCCTTCTACACCAGAGAGTGAATTATTATCATTTAGCTAATGTTGTTTAATAAAATAAAAGGAGGATTCTCCATTCACGTGTTGGATCTTCTGGCGGATTATGCACGTTATTAAAAATATAATAAGCTTGATTGTATAATCTAAATTGAATTGTTTATGAAGAGTCCGATACAATTGGCTTGATTATTGCACCTAATTAGGTCCGTTGGTCACTCGGCTATAGGGCAGTAGATTGACAAAGTTGGGAATTTGTTGTTTTTGATTGTTAAACGACGTTGATGGGATTCAATTGTTACGTCCTTTATTTATAGCTTATCTTTATCAAACAAAATTGAGAACTGTTTTATACCAAATAAAAGGGTAATCCAAGGAGAGAGAACAAGATTGTTATACTATATTATCATAATAACTAGTGAAACAATAAAATATGCAACAAATTGCCATGAAATGAAATTAATAAAGCAGGGGATTAAGTAGCTCTTATCCTGCAGACGGCTAAAATATTATTCACTGTCACACTTATGTCAACACAGTGGTAACATTTAAATTTTGTCCCAAAAAGAAATGTCTTAGTCATGCAATTATAATACAAACACAGTAACATCAGTGGTTGAATATAAGAGAAAAGTTTTCACCGTGGAAAGCCAATAAAGCAAACTTTAGAGAACATTACAAAAGATAGAGTTGAGGGATTAATCGAGGTGCGCGTAAGTTGGTTTTCATATTCTTGACTATTAAACTCAAAAAAGAAAAAAAAAAATAATGTTCCATTTGGTTGGTAGGATGAAAAGTAGGAATAATACACTTTCTATTTTTCAAGGAAGGAAAATACATTTTTTTCTTCCTTTGTGTTTGATTGGATGAATGTAAAATAAAAATAACTATTTTTTTTGTGCTGGCTAAGATTATGAGTGACAATCGAGTCGTGTCGTGTCAGATTCGTGTTGATTTATTATGGGTTTGTGTCGAACATTAGTTAAACTTAACTCAACTCATTTAACTAATTGTGTCGTGTCGAGTTGCGAGTTGACCTGTTTATTTTCGTGTCGTATTCGTGTTCGTATTAGTGTTGACCCACATAAATTTAAAATAAACAAAATTTAATGCTAATATTCAATTTTTTTTAAAATTTTATATATATACACACACACACACATATTTTATAATTGTATTTTTATATGAAATTAATATATATATATAATATGTATATATTAAAAGATATATAGATACATATGATACATCTCAACACAAATAATTAACTTTTCATCAACTTTTCTTCCGATTTTGGAGGGATTAATTTTGGTGAGTTGAAAGGAAAATTAATTCATCCACTTTTCTATTTTCCTTCCTTACTAAACATGATGTTTTATTTATCCCTCTAACTTTCTATCCTTTCAATTTTTCATTTTTTTTATTATACCAAAACGGAGCATAAAAATAGAGATTAGTGGTTGACTATTGACATTAGGACCATTTGAAACACTATGATCCACGGCTGGTTGGTCGCTCAAGTATATGTCGTCCCATGGTGTTTGAGTTCAACATAATATACTAATTATCCTACGGTTATGACTAAGCACTGGAGAAGGTATTATCCTAAATAAGTATTTGTTCACTTCAAGATAAATGAGTTTTGTCGGCGTTTAGAAAATGCTGAAAAAGGTCCAAAAACCGTCGACAAAACCCTTTTCCAATATTTATCCGGCATTTGTAACAAGCGTGGTCTAAATCACTGTCGAAAAATATTAATTTTGTACTTAGTGGAGTCAAGATGAGATAAAAGTAATTATAAAGAAACCCAATTGTGCAATCAATTGTAATTGTCAAGATCTATCTATCTTAAAAAGATAGGATCGATTTTACTTTGTAGTAGCCTCATCAAAAAGGGACATAACCTCAAACTTATTTTCTATTAATTTCAAGAAATACAGAAAAATAGGTGAGGTTACCTTAGTCATACCCTAAGCTTATATAATCAGTTCCCCTTATCTCCCATTCATTGTCTGAAACTGACACAGCCCATGCTGCTTGGTCTTGACTGGCCCAGCCCATCCAAAGTTTTGATAGCATGGGCTTTGCCCAAAACACTGTACCCTCAATTGATCATAAGCTTTGTCTACAGATGCAACTGGCATAACCAGGTGTAGCCATTTTTTTTTAGTTTGAATATTGCTATTGAAATTTAATTTATTAACCTAATTTATTATGGCTTTTGGGTTAATTTTGGATCCCATTAAATATTAAAACTTGTTGTTAATTTAATAATTTTAATAAAATCACATCATTAAATCAGTAAATTAAGTCAAATTTTTAAGTTTCATCAAACTAGCAATTTTGGGATCAATTCTTCTCACTCGTCGGTGAAGACAATCATTAATTTGGGTTAACCGTAGATAGTGTGCATGATTTTTTTTTGTTTAATCAGGAACTATTATACGAAAGAGGGACGATAAAATTTGAACTTGCGACTTTTAGGTCTAACAGTTAGAATAATGACTATTATACCGACCGCTCATCTAGATAATGTGCACGATTGTGTTACCCATATCAATAGTAGTAGTTGGCTGAAGATCTAAATATTATTATCCAAAAAAAAAATAATATAGTTTGGCCTATTATAGAAGGAATATAACTTTGCTTAAAAGAGAATAGACCCAACTATAGATAAAAGAAAAGTGTTCAAAAATAACTTTTAGTTTGATAAACTACTGCTCCCACATGGCATTAGTGGACTGTTCTGTGACCATTGGCGGTTTCAAAATGACTTTGATTGTACAATAGTTTATATAAAACAAAAGCTCACCACTCTATCTAATCATGACACCCACATCTCTAAAGATGAATAAAGGATGAAAAATTCCTTCTTAGTGGCAAAACTTTAATGCACAGCCCATAAACATAATCATTGTTATTATTGCAATCATAATGACCCTCATGATTAATTTAACTTTAGTATAATTAAAGATAGCCTTCTATTTAACAAAGAATATTGACACAACACTAGCACACACAACCTAGCTACCTCATTAGCAATGCTTAAGAGAAGTGGTTTTACAATCTCTCTGTCTTCCAACGCCACCGTGTTGGTTGGGTGGTGCCAGACACGTCGAAGGCCTCGGAGGCGAAAAAGTAGCAGCATACGGCTAGGGAATAGGCGCCGGGGGTTCTGCCTCCGGTGTCGACCTGTGGTGCATTGGGGGGTGGTGTTGTGCCCTCTTCGAATGCTGAAGAAGCTTATCATGGAGATGTTGTCGAATGGACATTTCCTAGAGGCTTACTTCTGGTCTTTACCCTTTCTTCGTCCCCAGATGTTTCCCTTATGTTAATTGCTAACCAGTGTTTTTCTTCAACGCTTTGGTATCTTTTTTGCATTTTCAATGCTGAATTGTAAAATGGAGTTCTTTTATTTTGGGCATGGTTTTACGTTTATCAGAGTGTTACTTGAAAGTAATATTTGATTATAGGATAACTTGCACAAATGGTTCTTAAAATTTAATGGTAGTCGTTCTTCGGTCTTTAAAATTTTAAATTTGTCAATTTGATCATTAATATTCACATGATTTCAGCCAATGTTGTCCTTCCCACCGTTTGAAAAAATTGACGAAAAATGTCGTATGTTTGACACGTGAGAGTATTCACGGATATTTTGGTATTTTATCTCAATCCCTACACCCAAACACCAGTATCTCAAATTCAACACAAAAATTGGCCAACTTGTAATTTTAATTTGGGTAAATTGCACCAATAGTCCCGAAGGCTTACCACTCATCGCACTTTAGTTTCGTCAATTTCATCTCTAAAGTTCAAACATTGAGTCAACCTAATAAGCTAGTAATAACACAACCATCTCCTCTCCTTAGTTACCCGTAAGCTCACCACCACCTCCACCCACAAAACCAAACCTCACCATTACAACCTCCACCACAAAAAACTCAGAACACGAAATCTCGATGAACCAGACTAGTTTTAGAGGACAAAGCAGCGATTCAAGAGAGAGAGAAAGAGCGAAAGGGGTTTGCAAAACTCTATCAGCAAACCCTCATATCAAAAAACCCTCATATTTATGATTTTTTGGAGATCAGCTCAGTCACAACAATTTCTTACAACATTTTCAACTATTACTCAAATTTTTATTCAAATTTGAGTAAAAAACTTGATTTGATATAAAGGGTTCTAATTGACAAATTTAAATTTAAAAAAAAAAATTTAAATTTAAATGAGAGCAAACTCAAATTTAAAAGAGAATAAAGATGACTATTAGATCTGTAAAAGAGTGTAAAATCTCACCATTAAAGATTTGGATAAGAATTTAAGTCTCTTAATTTGAATAAAAAAATAAGTCTCCCTTAATTTGATATAAGTTTGAATCAAAGATTGGAGCAAATTTTTTAACCTTTTTTACTCAAATTTAAATTAAAGTCTAAATTTAAGTTCGGCTGAAAATACTCTCAGACGCTACTCTTTATCCTCATCATCTACTTCATGGCGTTGTACGATTTTGCAACAATTTGGCTGATTGTTTGAGAAACCGTCGAAGCCCTAATTTCATGGTTCGTTCAAATTGTTTTGGTTTTGTGTTGTATGTATTTTTGTATGGATGCTATGAGAGAGGGAGGTTGTGTTTGGTTTGAGAGGGAGAAACGCAGGAATTGGAGAGAGGAAAAGACGTAGGAATTGGAGAAAGAAAGAAAGAAACACAGACAGGGATTTATGGGTTTGAAGGAGAGAGGCAAACATAGACGGATTGGAGAGAGAGAGAGAGAGAGAGAGGATTTGTGGGTTTAAGGGGCAAGGACGAGCAAAGACAAATTTTGGGGGGAAAGAGAAGAGGCATAGACCTACACAGAGAGTGAAGGAAAAAATGGAGAGAGATAGAGTGAGAGAAAATGATGTTCTGTGAGAAACAGAAAGGGAATAAAAGGTAAATGAAGAAGAAGATAGACGTTGGGATTCAAGTTTAACGTATACAAAAAAAAGGAATAAAGGTGTTTGGATGCCTAGATTGTTGTAAAATACCAAGAATATCTTTAAAGAGATGCATGCGGCACACACATTATAATTTCCGTCTATTTTTTTAACGGCAATTAGTGGCTATCACATTGACTTAATGTTTAAAGTTTAGGGATAAAATTAATAAAATTAAAATTTTTGGGATTAAAGTGCGATAAATAATAAATCTTAAGGATAATTGATGCAATTTAACCTTTTAATTTCTAAACGGACAACGAAGTCGGTTAACCCATCACCCCCAAGTTTAACACAAAAATTGGCTATCTCCCTGGTACGTTTCCTCAGTCTCCAGGCATATGGCCTCTCAAACCCTAACCCCTCGAACCCCTGCCACCTTCTTCCTAATGGCTTCTTCTCTCATGGCCTCTAAAACTCTAATCCTCCGAACTCCTACCACTTTTCTCTCTCCTCAAAACCACCTCTCCACTCTCTCTCTTCCCTCACATCCCAAACTCGCTCTCCCTTCATCCCCAAAAATCCCCTCCACTCTCGCCCTCCACCATCCCAATCCCAATCCCAAACCCACCTCCACAATCCCAAAGTTAAAATCAAGAATTTTCGCTTCCTCTTCAACAATCCCCACAAACCCTGATACCACTGTATCAAACACTCCGAATCCAACGCCTCACTCTTTGCTCACCGGGTCAACTCGAACAATCGCAACACTCCTAGCTATTACTCTGGCAGTCTCAAAATTGTTCGCTCACAAGATCTTCATCTTCGGAAGCATTATGAAAGGGAATTTTCGGGAGACGTTGATTTACACGGCCGGACCAATATTTTTTGCGGCGATGAAGGACTTACCCACTGGTAATCTGAACACGCCGCTCTCGGTGGTGGCGGCGGGAATGGCGAAATGGCTAGACATCTACAGTGGGGTTTTGATGGTTAGGGTTTTGCTGAGTTGGTTTCCAAACATTCCTTGGGATCGCCAGCCATTGTCGGCGATTCGGGACCTTTGTGATCCTTATCTGAACTTGTTTAGGAACATTATTCCACCAATTTTCGACACTTTGGATGTCAGTCCGCTTCTGGCTTTCGCTGTGTTGGGTACGCTTGGCTCGATTTTGAATAGCAGCAGAGGAGCATATTGAAGCAATTGCTGGGTTAGTAATTGTTTGATCAAGGGACAATCATGTAGTCTTCAAGTTTTGTTTCTGTTCTACCATTACTGTTAATCGGTGCTGGAGAATTGTAGTAAAGTTGATACAATTAGTTTCTGTCATTTTCATAAAGCTATTTTAGATTGTTACTTCGGACATTTTTCAGGGAGTTCGAGATTAATGTGAGAGGAAGAGGATTCGTCTAACCCATAAATTTGATTAGTCAGTGTCCGAAGGAGAAATTAGACAAATTCATGCAGCAGTCTTGTAAATATGTGTTCTGTTCAGTTTTTTATGATAACTAGGCCCAAGTGAACTTGGATTTTACCAATAAAAGAACTTGGATTTTACCATCTTGTCTCCAGCATTGTAGCCATGGAAGAAATTTTATGCAGAAAGGATCAATATTTTCCTCCATTCTTGTGGGCCTAATTGCTTCCCCAGGATGCAAAGCAAATTGAGATATAGAATACGGCAACCAAAAGTGCTCCAAAGCAATACAACTCCTAGTGATGAATGAGTGGCAGTTTTACAAAAATTTCCCATTCCTTCAGCCTAGAAATTAGACTGTTTCTACATTCCAAACAACAAACTTTCTTGTCAGTTTCATCCCTGCAGTTGGGATTCGTTACTAAACACTAACAAGAAATCAAAATCTGACGCTGTAATTTACATATGAGCAGTCTAATTTTTTCCAAAGTATGAAAAGAGTGTTGGTTGTTTATCACCTGCTTTTTCTTTCTTTCTCATTGGACTTGCACTAAGCTTGGCAGTTTCGTTAGTTGATAACTTTGTATCAGCCAAAAACTCCTCATAGCCCCGCTTGCTTTGGAAATCTGTGGTTCCCTCACGCCAGAGAGCAGAAACATTAGGTTTTGAATCATCCTTATCTTCCACGGGAAGAGATTGAAATGATTGATGGTATATGCCCTCTTCAGTTTCTGGTTCTTCTTTCAAGCGTTTTGGCTTGCCTGTGCTGTCTTGAGTTTCAGGTTCTTCCAAGCGTTTTGGCTTGTCTGTGCAGCCTGGAGTCTCAGGTTCTTCTTTCAAGCTTTTTAGCTGGCTTGTTTTGATATGTGCATCATGCGTATTTTTGACATATGACTGCTGTTCACTCTTGATTCCCTTCTTTGAGAAGAACTTTGAGATTGTGTTCGTCTCCTCAGCTTTCAATTGTATCTGCAAAACACTGGTATCAGCACATAATGATTATCTTCAGAGAGTAAGGGGGCAGGAGTGAGAAAATTTGTAGGAAAAAGTCTTCAATACTGAGCAGTTCATGGCATTCAACCAGACCAGACAGTAGTCAAGTGGCACCAAATGCTTTACAGATCGACTTCTTGTAAGACGATTGCTAATGACCACAAATGAATGGCGCCAAATGTCATATACAAAAAGATATTCCTGTAAGCCTGTTGCTAATATCCAAAACTTAACAAGACACAGTTATGTTTCTGGTGATACACTCTGCTCATTCCTCTCATTGTGCAACTATAACATGGCCTTGTTGGTTATTCAGAGAGACCACTGACTACCAATTTACATTCCTAAACTATTCCCCTCCATGGTGTTGCAGTTACCGGAAGTGCAGAAAAACAGTTTGGTGAGAGGCAGCTAGTATGAAAATTTGAGCAAATCCACCGGCTGGATTCTCCTAAAACTGGGATGTTGTAGCTTTGCTCAGTGGCCGCCATTACTAAACACTAAATATTTGAATTCAATGAGAGAATCTGCACTGCACCGACATTAAAGTGCCTACACAGTTTCTCAAATGCCCATTAATTCATTGAAGTTAACAAGTCTTGCCTACATGATATTAATACACCAAATATGTACATGAGTAAGTAACAAGCCAAACCTCCTTAATACACTCTGGTCCATCAAAAGAAGGCTTGCCCATTGCAGGCGTCACTGGGTACCAGACCTGGAAATGAAGTTTAACTATCAATAAACTATCAACAAATAAAAAACACCAGTGTTTCTTGTTTTCAGAAATATATTACCAGGTCTGGCTGTTCATATGGCTTAAGTATTGCGTCAAATTTTGTAGATGCGGCACTAGTTAGCCACATATCAGTGGATCCCTTGTCACCCAAGATAACAGGCATCCTGTCTACAGTTGTAGATCAACAAAGCATGAGGGATGAAGTGTTCAAGTTTGGTGGAGGTTATGTATTAAAAATGATACAGGTCAGAAACAGAAAAATCGCACTCTCCCACTTCAAAAAGATCAACAGGGATGAAAACAAACAGAAATATATTTATTTTAACACTACCGATCACTGAATACATTAAGCTTCTTCAGGATGGCTAGTGTTTGGTTAATCATCTTACAACCGTTTATCTGAACTAAATAAACTTAAAGATCAAACCCTACACCATCTTTGAGCCTAGCAGTTCATCAGTTAAAAAGGTAATTATTCCGGCAATTGTTGTCCATGAGAAAGAAAACTCAAAGCGCAGGCAATATTCCTGGTTGCTAATGCAGCCTCAAAAAAGATATTGACTCTACAAAGTGTAAAGGTCTCCAACACATGGTTCGAAAGCGTTTGCCAATGGTTATTTCATTTTTTATGCCTTTCATCCCTCATTTATTTTTCATTTTCTATGTCATCCATCCCTCAGATTGGTCATTGCTGGACTCTGTTGGCACCTTGCAGCTATACTCCATTGTCCTTTTCAACTTTCTTTTTCTATAGCATAACTCATTCAAATCATGAATACATGACAGATTGCCTCAAACTTGATGTACTCTCCATTCAAAATGCAGGTATGAAACAAGTGATTACATTTACCTGCTTTAATGTTCAGAAGGATTATAAATTAGGATAGGCTACATGAATACTAAAATAAACATGACTAACCATGCAACCAATTTAAAGCAGATGATGATGAAGTTGTCAAAATAGTGAAGGTGTAATAAGTTTCTCCTGCAAGGAAAAACACACCGATCAGTATCATAGTCCTACATGAGTAAAAATCTAGCTAAATCATACTACAAGATGGAGGGGAATTATTACATATAACTATCCACATACGTAACTAATAGTACATAAAATAAGGGAAATTAACAGACAGCTATTGCAATCTGTTCAAAAATAGAATTCAGGCCAGAAATAATTTTTGATGAAATGAAGAGCCTAACCATGATAACCACCAAACTGATATTGGTGACAGTAAATTCCAAAAATAAGTTTTCAAACTTCCATCCTTAAAATGAATAATAGAATGATGATTCACCTTCCAAATTTTTCCAAGAATCATACAGAGCAGCAAGCACAAGGGGCCGACCATCCTTAAAATGAATGTAATAAGGTTGCTTTTTTGACCCATCTTTTTTCCACTCGTAAAATCTGAACAAAATGTTCAACAAACATTATCCAGGCAAATTTTGAAGCACTACATATGTAACTGACCAGGCAACACAAAATACACAGACAAAAGGAGCGGCATCTGTCCAGCTAAGTGTTGACCTAAAACAGTATAAGCAATATCCTTAGCCAACATAAAAGCATTCAGTACTTTAAAAAATAAATATGACTGCAATGGATAGTAAAAATAATGACAAGAAGTGACCAAATGGAACCAAGGTGAAGACTCCCCCCCTTCATTTTCAACAAAATGCCTAATATAAATGAATGTGGTACTGCAGTATATATATGAGTCATATGCAGAGAAAAAGAGTGATATTGAAGACAGATTTTTCATAATAAACAGAGTGATAAGTACATAATTGAAATCCAGTTGTAAAGAATACATAAATAAAGGTTACAGACTGGCAGCGAAAAAAAAAACCCCTATATGGAAGAAATGGAGTTTGGAATGATCCGGTGAATCTAAATTAGTTATCGGGATCCTATAACTATCTAAATGAAAGTCGGCTAAAACAACACTGGGGTACCAACTATAGTTACTTAGAGAAATTACTTCTCTGCCTTCCTTAGACAACTAGTTCTCGAAAATAAGACACTGAAAAAACATAAAAATCATATCTCATAAACCATGATTCCTTCTCAACGAGGATTCATGCATTCCTCTCTCATTCATAGCACCGGATTTCAGATCTAGCTCCTAAAATGTATAACATTCTAGAAAAAAATGCACATGAGTGCATAAAATGATAGTGAGTTGAGAATATATTCCTGCAAACAAGGAACAAGCACGCATTTGTACTAACCATTCTACACACATACCCTTCTATGGCCACCAGGCACCTGTTTTTGGGAACAAGACGGCGAAAAGAAGGCTTCTCACATATTGATTCAGTTCGAGCATTAAACTGCAATTTTCAACATTCAGATTATCAAAATTTTACAATGCAAGAGATGTGTAATACTATAGGAATCCTAACAAGAACTATTCATACTAAAATGCCATTAAGCAGTATATGATTACAGGAGGTATAATAAGGGACTAGTATTAAAGAATGTGAAGTATATTTGCTTGTAAAACAAACAAAAAAAGGAAAAAAAAAAAAACCCCACTGTTTTCCATGTCACTAGACTCACTACAAAGTACAAATGGTCACAAGAAGCCACATTTTATGCTTATATTGAACATACAATTAAGATTAGACAATGTCGTCATTGGATGCTAACATGTCCATGCCCGTCAAGTTGTCATCAGAGTGAATGACCTGTTTCCATACATTCAGAAACCGAGAAAATTTTTGTGGGAATTGCAGCAAGGGTTTACATGAAGGCCTGAATGACCGGAAGACAAGGAAACTTACAACGAATCCTCATATTCAAGAATGAACAAAAATAGCATAACAGATTATAAATTCAGTGGGGTTGGACCATTGAAGCCTTTTGAGTAGAATTGTCAAAAGGTCACAGAACGCCAAAAAGCACATGAATTTAGTTGCTAAAAAACACTTTTGCATATTGCATAAAGCCTAGATATTCCAAGAAAACCTATGATGGCTGAAAAATAGTTAACTACATATTATCGTCTTAGTTTTTACACTTCACGTTTAGCTAACTTCAATATTAGAAAAAATGGATTAAATTCAAGCAGCACACACCACTAATATTGTGCTGTACGGGAGGCCCTCAAAGTTTTAGTAGAACTTAAATGAAGCCAATGTAAGCAAGCATAGCCATTACCATCTTGTAATGATCAGGTTTATCGGTTTTCTTGGTGAAACTGGGAATAAGCCCCCACTTCATGCAGTGCAGAACCGCGCCTTGGCCGTCGGACCCATCGTCTCTCCGAACAACCGGCAGATTCGACCCCGGTGAGACATTATATGACGGCCGATACCTAAAAACTCACTCAAAACCGACCTTAGCATATCATAACTTTCAATTCTTACATACTACATATACAAGAACATAATCTGAGTAGGAGTTAGAGGGGAACGGGAAGATATTTACCGGTCCATATCGACGGAACGGACCGGAGGGCCGTTGAGATGGCAAGCCCTAGAGATATCATCGGCCCTGAGAGTATAGCGGCACCTTCCGCACATCACTACTCTCTCTGGTTTCTGCTCTGTTGTCTCTCTCTTTTCGCTTCTCGTCTTCTCTTCACTTCTCCGTTCTATGGAGGTCAACCGAACAATGGCGGGAATAAAATAGGATGTTCTCGCTGTAGGCTCTGCATCGTCTGTTTGACGGAAGGAGGAACTGCCTGATGGCCGTTGGATTTTCAATTGCCTTGTGATTCGAACCGCTGTTTAGGAATTTAAGGAAAAAAAATTATTCATTTATTTTTTATGAACACATAAAAAAATAGATGTAAATTTTAAATATATTTTACCTCAGCTTTTAAGTTGAAAATTATTCATTGTTTCAATTTGATTTTACGCTTATATTTCGTCCATTTTTTTCTTGAAGTAAATAATAGAATAAATTATACATATTATTTTTAAATTAAGATTCTTGTGTCAATTAATTTTTTATTTTAATTAAGTTGTTGAACTTTCTAATTGTATCATTTTACCTACGTGCATCCAACAATTGAAAGTTGTGAACATCGATGATTGAAGTAAACTATATATATATATATATATATATAAATTATGACATTATATTAATTAAAGCTCTAAACTTTTTTTTATGTATCAATTGAATTTTTGAATTGTATCAATTTATTCATATGGAGACATACAAAATAACTCAATTAAAATAATTAGAGAATTTAAAAATTCAATTAATATAAAAAAAAGTTAGAGATTTAACTGTTACCAAGGCATTAGTTTGACAAGTGTATAACTCACTCCAAATAATAAGATTTAACGTATCACTCAGATTGTAATTTCTCAACTCCGAACTTTCCAAATTCCAATCACACCAGGCCGGCGCCAAAAGCATCTCTAGCTCTCTCTCTCTCTGCGTGTGATGATACATACGCTCCCACTTGAGATGGTGAAGGGTTCAACTCTCTTCTCCGGTCGCCTTCCGATCTAATCGATTTCTCAGCCATTCTATCTGTCTGCCTAAGAGCAGTGAGAAGCGATCGGAACATGAGCGGATCAAGATTGTGTGCATTGTTAGGGGAATTAGGTTTCCAAGGGCACGAAACATTGGACCCTGATAGCTTCGAATGGCCTTTCCAATACGACGACGCACGACCCATTCTCGAGTGGCTCTGCTCCAGTCTCCGCCCCTCCAACGTTCTTTCTCCATCTGAGGTTTCTCAGTTACGCCCCCTCTCTCTCTCTCTCTCTCTCTCTCTCTGTCTATATATATACAGAAACACACACCCATAATTTCCTTTATCCACTTTGTTTTTAATTACCGGAAGATTCAGCTCTTTCACTGGGCAGGGGTGTAGAACTATACGTTGTTTTAGGGTTTGTTTTCTCTTTTAGGAAGGCAAAATCAATCGAACATTAAACCAAACCCAAAAAATTAAACTGAAGCTCAATTTAGGGTTTATTTCAATTAAAGGATTCATTGCGCTTCCCGTATATGGGCAGTTTGAAGGTTGTTTGGTTTTGCAACTGTGATTAGTTTCAGGATTTGTTGCATGTAGTTCACGAAGTATTGAATGGTTCACATTATTTTCGAAGGTTTGGAGAACTTGAATTAAGGGCGTCGGCACAGATTTAAGTGGCACAAGTCTTTAGGTGTGTTTAAGATGTTCAGCCATAGAAACAGTATATCAACTGTTTGGTTATATTTTACAGTCGTTCTTTGATCGCTTTCACGTAGTTTACATTTGGAATATCTAAAATTTCTCCTTGTTAATGATTGTATTCTATTTGCTACTCAGGTATGAGCAATATTTACAAGAAGGGAAGCTGTTGGAGGTATTATTTTGTGCTTTTTTTCATGATTTGTTTAAATGGTGTTCGGCGAATTTTGAATGGTTTGCATTGTTGCAAGATGCTGGAAAAGGGTCAATGGATATTTATGTGATTGGTGTTTTTGTCGATCATGGGGATAATTCTTTGGAGAAAATAAATATTTCGACATCGCTGCGGAATTTTCAAGGCCAAACACTTGGAATTTCTGTCACAATAAAGTTATCTCTGCTCCACTCTCTGTTTTGTTGTTATCCTTGTTGAGGGTAGTCTTGGGATGCCTAAATAACACCTTTACATTCTCTTGTTGGCTTGTCATACCGAGACCATTCGCAAGTTGAATTCAACTTGTTGCTTTGGGCCTTCGGCATGTTTAAGAAGACGGAAAAAGAAGAATGTGTGATAATTTTGAACTCCCAATACTGAAAATTAGTATACTCATACTAAGAACTTAATTTTTGTGGGGTTTCAAGTTGAGGGAAGATTTAGAGGTCTTACCTTGTACTTGTAGATTTATCTAGCTTGTTCGTTTCTTGCCCTTCTGTGTACCTTTTATGCACTTATCTGTCCCTTTTCACCTATGAAGATGAAACATAATGGACATTCTTTTTTCATAAAGAATTGCAGTACATATGTCGACTGCTACATTTTCATAGTCATGCATGGACAAATTCACTCATGTACATATATTGGATGTCATGACTGAAACAGGGGGAAGACTTGGACTTTGCTTATGATAGTATTTCAGCCTTTTCAACTAGGAGAGACAACCAAGAGGCAGTTTTTGGAGCTGAAGAAGGATTGAAAGATATACGGTAACAGTTTTTGTTGCTTTTAGACATATTCTCTATGGTTCCTTTTATGGCCATTTGCTACTAGCCATTGTTTTTCCTTTTTGCGTTTATTTTACTTGTTGAGATAAAAAATACTGCGTATCTCTCTGGCGACTGTACTCAACTACTATCATACACTCACGATTGCATAAGCTTAAACATGCTTGATGAAAGGAAGTTAATTAGGCATATTGGTGGGGCACAATCTCATGGATTCCAGTTTAGGCCTTCCTTTTGTTGTTCTTAAGAAGACATATTATTTGTCATATTTTTTAGCAGATTTTGGTTTCTTATGCTTGAGCAAATTGAGATAATGTGTCACCCAGTAAGGTTGGCATGTTTTTGTTTTCTTTTTGTTTTTCCTGATTTGAGTGGAGTTTGTGGTGTATATGTCTATTTTGTAATCTTTGTTCATGAAAGTTTTATTTTATAAGATGGTATAGTTGAGCATGGAACTATATGATGTCATAATTGAGAATTTGTTGTTAGCTTTAGCACTTATGGTTAGTGAATTTCACGAAAAGGGGAGTCAAGAATATTGGTTGGATGAAGCTGTCAAAGTCAAATTTCTGTTTTACTGCAGTTGTTTTTCATTTAAATTAGTCTGTTGGCTGGATTAATCATTAAGTTATACTTCTATTTCTAATGTTTGGGAGTCAAGGTACTTTTTTAACTCAAAAAGATTTTTTAAATATGGGTTGCAAGATTATTATGGAGTTTTTATGGATTTATTGAGCAAGTTCATACAGGTTTTAAGGAGTACTAGTAAATATATGTGATAGATTTAGGGAGTTTTTAGAATCTTTCCTAATTCAACTCGTGTGATGGTTTAGGGGTCCTAAGAGTAATTTTTAGTATTCCTTTACTTTTTCAAGTTCTGAACTTTAGCAGCTTTTAAAAGCCACAGCCAGATACAGTTAAACTCTGATCTAGTTTTAGTCTCTAAATTATACACACGTCTGATGCCCTGACTGGTTGATTCATGCATGATGCACCCTTATTCTACCATACCAACTTTCACATCAAAGACCTTCACTTAGCCCTTCAATATATCCAGTACAAGATAATTATAATATCTCCACCCATCAGTTACCACAAAAGGCAACTATAAATAACGGAAAAGGAAAATTTTATGCTGTTTGCCTGTGTCAAGCTATGTATGAGCATGTTCTTGCATTGGCCTCCATCATTTGGGTCTGAGTTTTACATTATCATGTGGATTAAATACTGTGATTCTTGTTGTGGCACAAAGTTTTTTTGATGGTTTCCTGAATATAAATATACAGGTGTTGATGCGTTTGATTTGTCATGCAGATTCAATAAAATATTTGCTGCCATATCTGTGACATTCTGAAGCAATTCACTAAACATAAGATAATTTTTGCTACTTTGACTCTGCTATTGATGGATTACTTTCATCATCAGGGATGCTACTTTTGCATTAAAAACTGAAGCTGTAGAGTTGCAAAGACAGCTTAGTCATCTACAGTGTCAATATGATCTGCTCACGGGACAGTCTTCAGCATTGATTCAGGGAAGAAGAGCACGAGTTGCAGCGACATCCACTGTCAATGGACAACTCACTGCAATAGAGGATAGCCTATCAGCAAGGAATTTAGAGGTATACCAATACAAATAGAACTTCTCATTTTAAGATACAGTTGAAAACTATATAAATGTTAAGAGTTTAGCGAAAAAAGCTGATGAAACATACTGGTTTTACTAAAGAAGAGGGCTTGGAAAAGTGCAAGAAACTCTTGTATATGCTGCCTAATGTTTTTTTAGTCTTTAAATTGTGTCATTGTAACTTTAGATGAATGCAGTTCTTGGAAGGATGGCATCTACAGCTCAGGAGTTGGCTCATTATCATTCAGGGGACGGTAAGGTGTTTCTTACTTTCCTAGGTTTCTTTGACCACTATATTTGTTTTCAAATTTTTTATGTGTGTCCGGCATACAAATAAAAAATACAATTATATATATTTTTCCTTATAACAAACCATCTGTAGATTTATAATTTGTCTTATAAACCACATTATATATCATGTTTACTTGAGTCGGATGAGTATGGAATATCCTGAATATACTGAATCCCAAGCAGCCAATCGGGCTTTTGAGGTTTCTATGTTATTATGCCAAAATCTTGAAATGCATTGTTTTCCATTTTTGTCTCCGTTATTTTTTTAATCTAATTGATCACATGATTTTGGGTGGATTGGCGCCATAGGATGTGTAACATGTGTTTTGATTAATGTCTTTTACCTGATTATTTTGTCTTGAGAATGGGGTGTTTTGTATTTTTGAGCAAACTCCTTCCATATGCTGCTGGCTTTGTGGTGGAGATCTTATCGTCTTACTGATTATTGATACTTGGCATTCTTTGTGGTGTAAGAGATTTTGTAGAGGAACGTTGTCATACATCTCTGATATTCTTCACATGCAGAGGATGGCATCTACTTGGCTTACTCCGACTCCCATCCATACTTGCTTGTGGATGCATCTTGTACAAAGGAGTTAAATCAGTGGTTTTCTAAGCAACTTGACACGGTATATGGATACTAAACTGGTGTTGTTGTTTACCTTATTTATTTTTATAAAGCTGCTAATTTTATTTGGTTGCCATGGTGCATTATATTTTAATTAAATGACAACAGAAATTTAACCTGAGGATGATCTGAAGACCTGAATGTCAACTAGTTAAAAGGATATAAATGCTGAAGTTATTCTCCTCTCTAGTAGTTTATGCTTTGAAATGAGTCGGTGGTTTAACTCGGGATCAAAGAAAGAGGTCTCACATTCAAATTTCCCTAAATTGTTGATAATTCTAATAACTTCACAGGCTTGGACCAAATCCTGGTCTGTACTTCCGGGGGCGTGTCCAAATATATATAGCAATTCAAGTTTGTGGCCTTTCTTACATTTTAAACTTTTAGGTGAGTTGATGGTGGTTTGACAAACTGTTGATGGGATGTAGAATGTGGGAATTGATCCGATAGAAGAGCCTTTTTCTTGTAGAGTAGGAAGCATGGACACTCTTCAGAAGATGACATATCCGTGTCAAACACTGACACTCAGACATGTGTCCAATACTCTTTTATCTTTGTCTATGATTAAATGTTAAAATTTTAATTTCGAACTTGTGCCCGACACTTCTTTGGTGACATATCTGATACTTCTTTAGACCGTGCCTACTCCTAAACACTAACCACATGTTGATATGTGATTAACAAACATTAAAAATTTGAATAATAAGTATTTTATACTATGATCTTCTGGGAAAAAGTATTTTATACTATGAAATAATATACAATTATCAAGAGACATGTCAAAGTTGTGTTCAAAACATAATAATAAAAATAAAAGATTCATAGAAGTTTTTAAAAAATGAGGAATTGAGAAAATGAAAGCAATCATTTAAGTTATATATGTTGGGTACGTGTTGTCTACAAAAAAATTGATAATTATTGACTATTATGATGCTTTAGTCTAAAAACTCACATTGGATGACTAGACATAACATTTATTTATTATAAAATATTGACTTTTTTATGAGTCATATATCTTTATCATTGTATTTGCGATAAATTATATATATATATAAAACATAATTATCTCTAGTGTGTCCTTAACGTGTCCGTGTCCTACCTTTTTGAGAAATCCCGTGTCTCCATGTCCATATGGTGTTGTATACATATCCATGTCTGTACTTCTTAGCCAGTAGATAACCTTTTGGAAGCAACGAAGACATATTTTTGGAAACATTTGTTGTTCAAATAAATGACGTGCAAAACAGTTTAAATTTTGTCAATTTGCAAATTCTTTGTACCATCCTCAATGATTGTCAGGATCCATGTCTCCTCAGCTGCAAGAGATTGACTTAGTTTGAATTTACACTTCTCTTTTATTGTCTTGCCTTAGTTAGAGTCTCCTATACCAGTTACTACATCATGTAAATCACTGGAAGTAGTTTTCTTGATACCTGACATGATTCATGAAGTTTACACATTCAATTTCATAAAAACACTTATCACATAATTTTTCAAAAATCTTACTCGTACAATAGTGGCTATATAGGGTAAAAGGTCGGTGCACTTCATGCTCAGACAATGGATTTTTGTCATTGCTTCAGCTGGGAGTTGAGAAAATGAAGTCTGGATCGAGTTGGCAGTTCATGTAGGCATTGTGGTGTGATGATTTATGAATTAGGAGAGAGAGTGTTTATTAGGAGTTCTACTGCTTGATCTTGATGTGGAATTTTTTCTTCATCTTAGCTTTGTGATGTACACTATTTCTTTTGATATTTTGCTGAATCAGTTCGTTCTTTTACTGCTGCAAATCATCTAATTTGGGATGGGGATATTTTAGTTGCACTTTGATAAGTTGTGCTTTAATGGGATGATCAGGAAGATATGACTCACGGCTCATGCTCTGTGCTTTAATCCTGGAACATTTGTGCTTTTTGTGGGGAGTGATGTGGCTTGAATTTTTTGGAGAATGACGTGTGAATATTGGATAGACTTGCTAGGTGCTGGTATTGCAATAGAAGCTCTATAGAAGCTAGTCATCTTTAGAGGCTAAATGTTCTAGTGCTTATTTTTGCCTAGGGCTTTTTAGAATATCAGAAAATGATTTTGGATGCTCGTCGTATGTCACCTTTGGAGGAGCTGTATTTTTTTTTTTTTTTGTTTCTTGCCTGATTGCCCAGTTGGCATTTCATGGCAATGTTCTTTACCTATTATGTTCTATTGACCGGATCTAAAGTCCTGCATTAGAATAGTTAGTAACGTGGCGTTTTTCCATTACCACATAAGTTCCAGTCTTTTGCAGAGATCATATAAGACTCCATTGGATGAGAAATGAACCTTTATGAAATGAACATGAATCCTTCTGGTATGGAGTCGGACACATTACCATTGAGCAATGTATCCTTTGTCGATCAATTCCTCTTGCTTGGCACCCAGACTTTTTTAACATTGATAGTAAATGGAGTATTTAAGTCTTCTTTTGACCCCTGTTTCTTTCTTTCATTTTTTATTATGTTTCCTAAAAAGAAGGATGAATAATATTGGTGTTTCCTACAGTTGTGGCAGAAATAATTGTTCATGGTAGATATGATCAATGAGATCTTTTTGTGCAGCATGGTGTTACCAATGCACCTGTACATGGAAGATTTTTCTGAAAATTTATGTTTAGTGATTTGAACATTATTTATTTGCTGAGGTACATGTCAGAACATTCTTTCGTATGGTTTGTCTTGCTGGTTTTGGTGATCTTATTGTGTTACTTGATCCAGGGTCCTTATAGATTAGTAGCAGAGGAGGGCAAATCTAAGTGTTTGTGGGTGAGTCTCGATGACATCTCGAATGCCTTAGTAAGAGGTATTTTTTGGTATCTTGTGTTAATATTCGAATGTTTTTACTTTTCGTTTTCTTTGTAGGGTGAATGATATTCTTGTATCACCATATTTCACTTCCATGTGGTATCTTTTTAGGAGATCTTGCAACATGAGAGGAAGGACAATTAAAAATGAGAGAGGAAATTAGAAACCAAGGAATTAGATGGTGGAACTGAAGGGAGAGTAACTAAATTTATTAATAGGTACCATGGTCATAGTGAAGCAACATATAGAATTTGGAAGAAAAAGCTAGTACTCCACGGAATAGTAGGATGATTGGATGTGTTAGAATAACAAAATAGCTATTTAAGAACAATAAGGAAATGGCAACTAAATACAGAAACTTGGAGAAATGAGAAAGTCTAACTCGTAGTACAAACAGGTTCATAGTTCTGACACATGATGACAAGGTTTTGTTGCATTGAGTTGGGATGGGATCTTTTCATTCTAAACCCACATAATTGATATGTACAAGGCAACCTTGTTCTTGAGAGTATGGTGTTTCAGGTACCAATATAGCTTTAGACATATGGAGGCCTGAGGTTTTCTTATGCTTGTGTTGGAAGTCATGATGCATCTTTATGAATTATGATGGACCTTTGCTTTAGCGCTGCATAATGTCATGGGGACTATGTTTGGAGACTACTCGTGAGCTCTTTGGAACATTGGATAGAAGTTTGGACACCATTTGTTTTCATTTTATTCTAAGTTTAGTTTTGTGTGTCAATTTAAATTCAGGTACTAAGCTAACATAATTCAACTTAACTTGGCTATAGATCCTAACCTATTATTGGGAAGAAACCAAACTCTATCGGAAAAGTACTGATAACAAACTTAAATTTTATTAGAAAAAATTGTGTATGATAGAACTGGACACATGGCCCCACTAAGCTAGCTTCTTACCTACTCTATATTAACAAGTGGTAAATTTTGACTTCTTATTCTTGTTTTGTTGATGCAACAGATTTGGAAAAATCACATCGTCAGCGTGTATCTGAATTGCAACGACTTCGCTCCATGTATGTTTTTACTCATAAAACTCTTTAAACTTAGTTTTCTGCCCTTTAATAGTTTGGTATAACTGTTAGGGATTAATGGTTATAACAGGCAGACACCATGGAGTATTGTAACATTCGAATAACATGTCCTCAGATGGCTTCATTTTTAGATGGGTGTCATTTGTATTTAGCAGGTCCTGGTTTGCTTTTCTCTCCAGTTCTCTTTTCGCTGGGATGTTTCCTTTACAGACTTCCTAGGAGCAAGAGAATGATTGTATGGCATGCTAAGAAAATGATCATTGTCTCCAAATGCATTGAGAGAAATTGCAAAAAAAAATAGGATGGTGGGGCTCTGTCCTCATTACTATTTTTTGTTTAAAATGCAGATGTTCACAAACAGATCATTTACTTTTTATTGAATAGTAATACAATGGGCCTGGGGAGTCGGGGTTTGCACATAATTTAGAGTCTTAAGGACCAGTGGGAAATGGTAATGAGACTTAAGTTCATAGTTAATCTCTTTGTAACATAAGAAGAATGCGACTTGAAGAGTGCATGTGTGTACTGAAGTTTAGTGATGTTTGCAATTTTTAGCATGACATGCGATCCAGTTAAGGAAAACTTTTAATTCTTGAACCATATATGGATTGTTCTTAACATGCGTCCTGTACTTTGTGACTTTGCAATGAATGTCCATCTTCAATGGCTTATAGTTGAAAAATACTGTGACAGATTTGGAACAAGTGAGAGACAATGGGTAGAAGCTCAAGTTGACAATGCTAAGCAGCAGGCTATTCTCATGGCACTTAAAGCTCAAGTAACATCAGATGAAGCTCACATTCATCTTGATCTTCATTCTCTTAGGTATTTCATAGTTATTGATTCTCTCTACTCTTGATTTTTATATTTTACTTGAGTGTAAACGATATGCACAAACTTGGTTGCTGCTGTCGTTGGTAAATGAGATTTCGTGAAGAATAGAGAAGGAATTTTTTTTACCAGTGCTTAATGTTTTTTCACATTCTTTTGTTTGTCACTCAAACTGTTCTTACATCCATATGTATCCTTGATTATTGCAATTGTACTGGTGAAAGTACTCCTTTAAACTGAGGATTATGAACTTCCCTATCGAGTGGAACTTAGGCAGGTTCAGACTTGATCGCATTTGGGTTCATTTGGCTCGTGGCATTTTGAAACCATATTAGTGAGACAAGTTGGTCAAAGGCAAAAATTGTTTTCTGGAGTTTTCTGAAGCAGCACGATTCAGACTTTATTATACTTTTGTCATTTCAGGCCCAAGAATTTTGTGCATTCTTACTTTGTATTTTATCTTATTTGGGTTGGGGTAAACGGGAAGAACCACTTGATCTCCCAAGTGGAAATTGTCATGTTATGCAAAAGAAATGTAGTAGTGGAAATGTACAATTGCAAATAGTTTTCATTTTGGAAAGCATGTAATTTTCTTACCTAATGTGTTTTAAAATTTTGTTGTCCACTGAGAAGGAGAAAGCATGCTGAATTGGTGGGAGAACTTTCCAATCTGTACCACAGAGAAGAGAAGTATTTATCTGAGGTTTGTCATATACACACAAAACTCTGCAAATTGATGATCTTTACTCAAGGGGCACTATTTCCAGTCTCATCAATTTCTTTTTCATCATGTGAATAAATTTGGCATACTACTCTAAATATATTCTAATCTCCAATATCTGGATGCTTGGTCCTTCATCTGTTATGGTGCATTTTGTTAATCCATTATGTTGGGAGTTATACCTATTTGCAAGTTGAGGCCTGATAGGATAGCGGCATTTAGTGTTTACATTTTATTATGACCCTCACCTAGAGGTAAAGGTTGGGCTATTTTGGACGAGAGATTGTGAAGGTTCAAATTCCATGTAACAATTATATATATACTACTCATAACCTGTGTCTGAAAGCACGATAAAATATAAAATTTGAGCTCCCAAAAAAATCAATTCCACTATATTAAATTTTTTCAACACGTGTATACTATTGGATAATGCTTGAAATAAAAATTATATTAAACCACAAATTAATCAAATATTAAATGATTAATTATGTGATAAAAATGAGTGATGTGATGTTTTTAGGGGAAAAAATATGTAAGGGATAAAAATTCAAGTTGCTATGTGTTTTATTATATATATGTATGTATGTATGTATGTATGTATGTATGTATATCCTGAACTTTGTATTGTTATTGTTATTTCATATATCTGTACCCAATACCATCCATCCCAAACCTCCATTAATAGGGGACTAAATTAGGTATTATATAACTATCTTCAGAGACTGTTATAAAAAAATTGACAACGTAAAAACGAGTTACTAAATTTTGCTCATATTATTTTATTACTCCTCATCTGTCATGAAGGCTCTGCCAATATCTTTTCATATAGTTACCATAAGTTTTTTAGTTTCAAATTCCATGCTCAAATTCCATTATTTATAGGATTGTGCATATTATATTCATTAAATTGCATTTACTGCTTGAGGAAAAAGTTGTGGTATCTATTACTACTGCCAAACTAGGAAATTCAGTTTCCAAGTCTCAACTCTCAGTTAAGACCTGTGTTTATATTGTTTGGTGTTGGTGATACCCTTCCTCACAGAGTTTATGACAGTTATTTCTCCTTTCTGTCTTCTTTTGTATTTACTGGAGTGAGTCTTCTAAAGCATCCTTAGTTATGTTCTAGATTTTTAAAATTCCCTGTTCTCAATGTTGTGAGGTTGATTTCTATAATTGCTAATTGTGAATCCGACTTCTTCCAGACAATTCCTGATCTTTGTTGGCAGCTGGCTCAGCTACAAGACACTTACATCCTGCAAGGTATTAGAGATGATGGTTTTATTTGTGCAATAATGAGGAAACTATTGTATTAATTCTTTTTCTTCTTTCAATAATTTTCGAAGTTTCTGCAATGCTCTTGCTAATTGTATTTTGTATTTTATTCTTTAATATATATAGGTGACTATGATTTAAAGGTCATGCGGCAAGAATACTATATTAATCGGCAGAAAGAGGTATGATTATCTAACATTATAATGTCATGTGTCGATTACTTAATTTTAAGTAGTTGAGAGGTTGATAAAATTGGAACCACATACAAATTGTAAGGTGTTTAAACGAAGTTGTGTCTTGGAGGGGACATTGTGTGGTGTAATGGTAAAGTGTCTGGGAAACAACCATATGATGAGAACAGTCACTTTGTGCAATAATACCAGATGTTAGGTCTGTAGTTAGTCCACCACTCCTAGCACCATTAGTTAATGAAGACCTAACTGGGTAAGTACCCTTGAGCCTTCATTCTTGTCTTGGTAATTTTGATACTTTTCTTGCTATTGTGGATGTTGTTCAAGGATAGGTTGATATGTGGATTCTTCACCGGTGGAATAAGGTTATATTAGCCTAAGACAAGCTAGATGACATAGGGAAAAGATATTTAAAGTTTACTAGACTTGTTGGTATGTTTCTAGTGTGTTTTATTTTTTTCTTATTGTTATATAGTAAAGTGGTGCTACTTACTCTCTACCAAACCTGGAAGTCTGTAATAAGAAGTAACAGTTTATGTAGTCACCATGCTAAAAATAGTCTTGCCCTTTGTTGGGGTGGTTTAGCTTCCCCAGAGCAGAAAGAAATTTTGGATGACTAGGCTTTCAAATTGGGACTAAACATACCCACAATCAGGACCTATTGAGTGTTGATGCAGGTCAAGCATGGTCTTTGAGATACGGTAGTTTCCAGCATACAAAATCATTATTCTATATGCTCTCATTTCTCGCAAGTAACTGTCTGCAATTTTGTGAAATGTGTCCCAGAAATATTTGTTTTCAACAAAAATTATTGTGATTAGGTTGACATCATTCCTGCTGCCTAATCTTCTCTTCTTTTTCTGATATTTTTTTTCAATCTAAATTTTTGGCAGTTTATCAATCATCTTATTAATCAGCTCTCAAGGCATCAGTTTCTTAAAATAGCATGTCAGTTGGAAAAGAAAACCATGCTTGGAGCATATTCACTGCTTAAAGTTATTGAGTCAGAGCTGCAAGGATACACGTCGGCAACCAAAGGGCGAGTGGTATGTAGCATTGTTCAAGGATCATCTTATATTACTTTCTCACATCCAGGGCTTTAGATAAACCTATAATCATTGATATCCTTTTTGACTTTTCTGATGGCCTTTATATAGTTTTTTGTTTTCTGTAATTTGTATATATATAAATTATCACAGGGATGCTGCATAGCATTGATTCAAGCTGCATCTGATGTACAAGAACAAGGAGCAGTGGATGATCGAGATACTTTCTTGCATGGTGTTAGAGACCTTTTAAGTATCCATTCAAGTAATATCCACTTGTTATCCTGCTAATGAATGCCGTGTTTTCTTTCTTTGAATATTATTTACACTTACTTTTTATCTCCTTAGATGCGCAAGCTGGTTTATCAACATATGTATCGGCTCCGGGCATTGTACAGCAGATATCCGGACTTCATTCAGACCTGATGACCCTGCAGTCTGATTTAGAACACGCCCTTCCAGAGGACAGAAATAGATGTATTAACGATCTGTAAGTTTTCCTTCTTAGCCAAAGAAAATAATTTCTTTTGTCCTAGTGTCACTCTTGTTTTCATCAAATGTTTTGACTATTATCTGTAGTTTGTGATTGCTTCTTGAAGTTTCAGAAATGATGATGCAAGAATTTCTGTCCCTTACTGTTTATAGGTTTTAGGATCTTAGGCAGAGGTCTGTAGGATAGAAAACAGGTATGATTATGTAAGTAGCTATTTGGGTCAGCAAAAGAAACAGAAACAAATTTGTCTGAATAGAGATAAAATCAGGCCAGGAAGAGAAAGAATAAAAATAGGAATATTTTATGAATTGCACATTTTTGTCCAAGGCGATCTCTTGAGAAGTACTTCAAATCTGAAATACTGATATCACTGATAAACGTCACATCCTCTTCTTTCTCTGCAGCACTTTCTTGCAAACTAATATTAGGAGCACTAAATAATGATGTGTTATAGCTTATTTTCATTCATTATACACACCAATGCATCCAACCCTTGTGAAATGGTTTAAATAATTGCTTAAACTTGTTTTTCATCCGTGAAGAAAACAGAAGCAGCAAGTTGAGTTTCATATCGAAACAAGAATACTAAATGAAGAATGTTTAAAAAGTCTCTTCAATGAAGCAATGTCTAAAACTTTGAGATGATAGGGCAGGATTTTAGATCGTTGGAGAAATTAAATCTTTGCTCCAAATATTGTGATTTCTTCTAGCAACAAAAACTTTTGTGATTCCATAGACTTCCTTAACTAGGAATGCTTCTGCATTTATTTTTCTTTTTCGCAATTTGAATGCAAGAGTCATGCTATGTAGAGACTTAATTCATGTCAAGCATCTCATGTCTTCCTTTTTGATCATTTATTAGGTGCACTCTTGTTCAAAGCTTGCAGCAACTATTATTTGCATCATCGACAACTGCTCAGCCGATACTGACTCCTCGGGTATACAGTTCACCATTATTCTCTTGAATTTTTGTTGGTCAATATGCAGATGCTTGGTCCTTCTCCTGTTATGATGCATTCGGATGATTCTTTATGTTGTCAGTGATCAACTGTTCGAAGTTGAGGTGTAACATAATTGAGGCATCTACTTGTACTATTTTCTTCTGTTCCTTAATTGTTGTCACAGCCTCGTCATTTTATGTTTGTGGTGCTTATATATCTGTAGGGACTCTCTCTCTAATTGGGGATAAATATCATTTGCATTATTCTTGCCACCATCTGCATTAGTGTTAATTGGCAAGGGGGTAAATAGTTTTTCATCTTAACAATCTAATTACATTCTTGGAATATTTAGTATTTAACACTTATGACCCTCTGAAGGAGAATAAAGAATTAGTGATCGACTTTGGCTCGACAATTATTGCCTTGGAATGATTTAAATATTGTAACCTTCATAATCTGTATTTGTGAGATGTTCTTCCCACCATGAGAATAGACCCAATTGAGGTTAATCTAATTTGTCTTTATAGTTGGTGATTTTATGCCTTTTTTATTTCCTCGATACACTTGTCTTGTACCATTGTAACACCACATTTCTTTTTGCCCTAGATAGGTGACTAGTTATTCTAGGGTTGAATGTTTATGGGACTACATTTAGATGGTATAGGGCGTTTGAATTATAAGTTATAGGCAAAGATCAAAATTTTATTTCGGTGCATGGATTTAATCGGCTCAAAAATGAGAACGTTTACAAAATAGAAATAAAGAAAAATTGAAAATTTGTTTCTAAAATATTGGTCAAAACATACTGAAATATCTCAAAACGTATTGAAACATTCCAAAACATTGAAAAGTTATAGGCAGAAAAATTGTTTGGCCAATTTTTTTTTTTTTTTGTTTTTTGAAAATTAATAAAAAGTTTGGTAGATTTAATGATCAAGTTAGAAATGTTTTGTCTGTTTTTGGAAACAACTTTTTTAAATTTGAAAACCACCACCACCATAGTTCCACCACCGCATCCACCATCACCACCACACTTCCACTAGCTCCTTTCCACCACCACCACCACCACCATAGACCACACTTACATCACCACGTCCACCACATTTTCATCCACCACCACCACACTTTTACCACTACCATATTTCTATTTTCATTATTTTTTAAGTTATTGTTCAAATAAGTTTTACTATTTTCTATTCCATAAAACTATTTTTGGAATCATATAACCAAACAAGTTCTGTGGCACCAAAAATAATTTTTTTAAATTCTTTCCAAAAATAGTTATCGGATATTGTATTTTGAGACGCAAACCAAAGAGGGCCTAAAATTTCGATATTCAATAACTGTTTGATATTCATTTCTGTTTCCATGGAAATGGTATTTTCGGTGGAAAAATAAAATAAAATTTTCATCCTTATTCATCGGTAGTTGCATTGGAATATATTAGAGGTGGTTGTTTGACACCTTGAATTCTGCTTGTCTTTGTTTATTCCCCTTAATTAGTGAATGTCGATCGAACGAAGTGATTAGAGGTTTATATAAGGGTAAGGTAATTCTCAAGCCAAAGTTCAGAGTACCATCCCTCATTCTTATCTAGTCGAGTTTGCTTTGTGCATCAATTTGGATTATAGTGCGGCAATCCTGTCCACACCTTCACATGTTCATCTCTTGCATCGTGAGGATTCTGATTTTGTGTTCTTTTCTTGGAGGTTTTTAGGAGGTGTGATATTTTTCTATCTTAATTTATTTGATTCTTTTACAGACATTAATGAAGGAGCTTGATGAAATGGAAAAGATTAATGCAAAACTCTCTGTTGCAGTTGAAGAAGTGACACTCGAGCATTGTGAAAAGAATGAGGTGAATTTTATATTCTTTCAGTATTTTATCTTCTCATGTCATCAGTGTCATTTTGGTACATTACTTGTGCAGTTACTATGAAGTAGCTTGGTAACATTATTACGTTTTTTTTTATTATTTTTGTTGCTTTTAGTTCAAAGATGGAGGTGCATCGTGATCTTTATCATTAGGTTTAACATATAAATCAAATTTCCATAACCTGCCTATATGATGCTTGTCTTCAGTACATCTTCGCTCATATCAAATGTGTACAATGTGGATAATTTTGAATGCTCTACTGGAAGTGATGACATTGGAAAGTTATTTTTGTTCGTATCATTCCCTATTCATAATATCTGCACTCACTAACTGATTCACATGCCTTCTGGAACTCAGATTGTGAAACATCATTCACAAGAGATGGCGCTTCAGAGGCGGGTTTTTGTTGATTTTTTTTGCAATCCTGACCGATTGAGGAACCAGGTCAGAGAACTGACTGCACGAGTCAGGGCTTTGCAAGCCTCATAATCTATTCTTTGTAAACCAATGTATGTTTGTAGGGTTTATAACATCCTTTCTGCGACTACCTGAGTTCTTGTCTTCAATCCGTAAACTATACTCATAGATGTTGATGTTTTCTGTGAATGGAGTGCCAGTGTGCCAATTTGTTTATACTTTGTGCTGGTGTTGCACCATCTTTTCTTTGTCCTATTTGGTCTGTTTGCTACCAGATGTAGAATTTTATACAGAAAAATGATGTGTTGAACTCCACGTTTTGACACTCCTTTATAATCCTTGCATTTTGTCATGAGTTACTCGTGCTGGATGGAACCATGAATGGAGAGGAGTCAGAAGCAACAATTTCTACGAAGGATTTGGGCAGAGGGGTTAATAATTTCTTACTTCACTTCAATGTTTGCTCTATCTGTTCGACTCTTGAAGAAAAAGGAGCTTGAGCCTGCAAATTACAATCTAACTCTTCTGAGTTATACCAGATACCATATGGACAAGGTTCCACTGTCCATCTTTTTACCCCATTAAACCCAAGGCATAAATGTCTGAAATGCAGGTTCCACTGTCCATCTTTTTACCCCATTAAACCCAAGGCATAAATGTCTGAAATGCAGGTTCCACTGTCCATCTTATTCGGAGTGCTATGAAACCCGACCAGGGAGAAACAGTGCTGGTATATATGTGAAAAATATGAAAATATTAACCTCTAGAGGCCTTGGATTGTATTGTTAATGTTTACATTTAATGTCAGATAAAGAAACAAATAGCTTTATCAGGAAATATAATCACTTGTTTTAAATTGGGGATGAAGTTAGAGCTTCAATTGGATGTTATTCTATCTTACTAAGGTTCATTTAAAAGGTTGCAAAGTAGTTGTAGATAGTTGGGCCTCAGCAGTGGCGGCAGCGTCCCTACCAAACGTGGACAACTGGGGCTGGTCATCAAACCTTGTCACCCTCTGAGGGAATCCTCCCCAAATCGAAGCTTTGAGTAGTGCTAGTGCTGTGTCCTGATGATGATTTCTGAGTTGCATCAAGGCGGTGGAGGCGGCACTTGAATGAACCAGCATGGGTGGTCGGAGAACAAAGGCAGACCTTCTTGGACGCATCAAGTAAGCCGTTTTCCATCGCATTCTTCTTCCCCATTTTCAAATTTGATGCACCTTCTATCTTATTTGCCTGTTTAATAAGAAAAAAATTGGTTAGAAATTAAGCGGAGACACGCATAGAACATCTTCATATGTAACGGTCCCTATAATCCCCTCCTATTATGTTGAGTTGGAAACCACACTCCTCTCCCAACGTGAAATTAAGGCTAATGGCTCTTTATCCCCTTAAATCTTTATAGTTATACTTTTGCCCCATAGAGGATAAAAATTTTCACATTGGCCCTTTTATTTCTCAAAAAGGGGTAAGAATAAGAATAATGGTTATAGCGTTGGGTTTTCTATTTGTGAAGATATCATATTTTATTTTGCCTTTGAAATTTTTTTCTAATTGTCCTTTGTCCTATAGAAAATTTCTGTTCTCACAACGAGCAATTATAAAAGCAGAAAGGAAGAAGATATATGGACTAGAATAGAATGAATGATAACATAGTTCTTGTAAAAGATGCAAATCAAAACCGCAAAGCAATGGTAATTTTAATCAACTACCAGCAAAAGCAAAAAAGAAAAGAAAATAACAGTAGAGAGCTGAAAGCAAGGAGATGTAATACAGAGAATCAGTGTTTGTGGAATATATATATATATATATACAACAACAATCAATCAATTTCTTAAGGAGATGGTTTGAGAAGTCTTCTCTCCTAATTTTTTCAATTTTTAAGAAGTTTTGAGTTATTAAATCCTCCGATCTATTCTACCAAATGCTTCCAATAAGTATCCTAAATGATTACCTATATAAAGGGTAAAGAAGAGGATCGAGAGGAGAAAAGAATGATTTGTGTATCGCATGGGGTCACACACTAAGTATATATATTACTTTTTTTGGGACTGTTCACATGTAGTATTATAGGAAAGCTCCAAGAAAGAAGAAGAAAAAAAAGACAGAAAGTAAGTAGTAAAGGAGTTACCAGGTATTAGAAGTGGGTGGATTGTCAACGGAATCTTTCATTGCGTCAAAACTAGCAAAAAATCTCTCAGAAATCCAAAAGCTGATTTAGTCGTAGACTGTAAACAACACGCGATGTAGTAGACCATTAAGAAACAAGAAGAAATACACACACGTATGAATATACATGAGAGAGAGAGAAGGGTAATCAACCAGGTTCCCAAGAGTAAAAGGAGTGTGTAACGATAAATTTGCAGCGTGATGATAGGATTCTAGTAAGTGTTTTGATTAATGGGGGGAAATGGTGTTGGATTACAAGAATAATAAGTAGTAGGATTTACTTTTTAATTTGGAATTTGAATTATGAATTACCAGCACTAACACTACCACTAGGATTCTCTTTACTCAACTCCCAATCCCAATCCCAATCCCAATCGAGAGAGAGTGTGTGTAGATCACGCAACTCTTGAGGACGTAACACGTAATATCCTACCAAGGGTTATTTTTTTAATATTTTGCAATGGTTGTTATCATCTCTCCACTCTTTACTTCTTTTATTTCTTTTTTATGGTTTTCACATGAGAGGAAAGGGACAAAAAAGTTCATCCTTAACCCAAAGACTTAACTACAGTACCGAATAAATAATTTTAGCACCGTACCTTTAAATTGCAAAATTTTAATTGGTATTTTTATAATTGTGAGTTATTTTATAATTAAAAAAGTTACCATTTTTATGGGTATTTTTACCATTATTATGGGTGTTTTTATAACATTTATGGTAATTATTTTTACCACTTTTCTTTAATACAAAAATAATTTATCATATTTATGTTTATTTTTATTTAGATGCTTTTAAAATGGATAATGGAAGATCCGAATCCACAAGTTCAGAGGTCAGTGGAAGATGCCATTTGCCATTTGCCATTTACACCTTTATTTCCATTTTCCTCTTTGTCTATCTGCTTTTACCATGTTCTCACTCACGTCCACTTCTTGTTCAAAGACCACTGTCAACGCACCACCTTCTTTTTCCCGCATGCCTAATATTCGTTTGAAAGAAATAAAAACAGAAAAATTTCTACTAGTTAGGAAAAGATGGAAGTTTTAAAGATTCATCAAGTCTCTCCTTTATAAACAGATTAATCGAATAAAGTCTTGCTTAGAGGTGCACAAGAATATAACTCAACAACTCAAAACGTAGTTCAAATAATAATAAGAACGAGTTATAAATTCAAACGTCTTAAATTTTCTTAAAAATTTATCTCTTATGAATATCTAAGTTCTGGTATGGATGACTTATATTTGACTGAGCCAAAAAAAGAATTAGTTGAGATGTGTATAAACCATAGTTTTAAAACCCGGCCCGGACACCAATCCGGAGAAGGGACTGGGTCAATGAATTTCTGGTTTAACCACTGGGTCATTGGTCGAACCGGTGATATAATAAAAAAATAAAAAATAATTATTAATGATGATAAATAGACTAAAAAATTAAAATAGTTATAAAAATAACATATTTAATATATATTAAATCAAACAAAGTTATCAAGCCTGAATTACTTAATTGCATTCAATTAACAGCCCAACCTTCACCCTCAAACTTGAATTACTTAATTGTATTCACTTAATTTTTGAGCTAACAAACACTGAACGAATGATTTAGGATTTAGGGCAAAACAGAAGGGGAAAAGAAAAAGACACAAAAATATAAAAAAAAAAAACATATTTATACTAAAGGAACAAAACCGGCTGGTTTTGACCGATCCACCGGTTTTATTCCGGGTTCTTTGCTCAAAAGGTCCAATTACAAAATCGGCCCGGTTATGAGACCGGTTCACCGGGTCAACCCGCCGAGCCGGGCCAGGTTTTAAAACACTGGTATAAACTGATCCGAATATCCTGACCATTAAACAAAAAACAAAGAAATATAATTGAGGGGAGAACTATAATTTCTTGGGCTTGGCTTGTCAGTTTGCAACATATGTTTGAAATTGGCTCACAATTTGACAAGCTTTAGTAGTTTACAAATGTTGCTGTAATTCAGTTCGTTTATTATTTTTCAAATCGAGACTCAATTTGTCTTTGCTAAACAAGTCAAAGTTGAACTTGTGTCTTTGATCTAATAGGGCTTTATTTTTAAAACTATCCTTTACCTTACGAAAATTTTATCTTCAGATGAAAAATTTAAACCCCTTTTTCTACCCCCAAAAAAAAACATTGTGTCCAAACTTAAATTTGAATTCAGATTCTGACAAAGGTTAAGGTCGGCTTATTACATATAACTATGTCTATACTTGAGCAACTCGATTCATTTAATTGCATATTATGTGTGAATTATAAAACAAAGTGTTCAAAAAACGCGGTGTTAGGCATGGAGGATTTGCAGCTTTATACAGCAGAAGAGGATAGAATGGCAGAAGAGACACAATAAGTATTAACTCTGAGGAAGCATTTACTTTTTTAGAATCTTTTCTTAGCCCAATTCCCAACACTGCCCCCTCTACTTTGATGACACAATACCTTCAAAACAAAAGCCTCAAAAAGACATGATATAACCAAATGGAAACAAACCCTTCCTTAGCAAGAAGACTTGTTATCATTAATATATGATAGCAATGAATTATCTTCTTTGGCCAATAAGCTATTGGGTCTTTCCCAAAGGAACCCAAGCACATCAACACCCAAATAAATACTGCTATGTCTATTCTTGTCATTTTACATATAAGGTCATAGTAGTCCTGTCAGCTTCACTCAGTGAACACAACTTGGTTGCAGGCAGCTTGAAAGAAAGCCCCAGACCCTTTTCTGCAAACAAGTTAAAAAAAAAAAATTATTATAAGAAACTATTAAAAATAATAGGAGAAAATTAAAGAGAATTAAATTAAAAAAATAAATATTCCCATCCTGACTGCTTCCATTTTTCAATTGCAAACTTGGGAAAAACTTTATATGGATACAATGGGCAAATGGTACTGTGTGATGTTACGCAACCTGATTAGACTACACTAGGGGAACAAAATGAAAGGGTTCTCCTACTGATTAACTTTATAAAACATTCATTATGATCCTTATCACTATAATCCAGATGATTGAAATAAATTGGTTCCTTGCACATAATTTGTTTGGTGTCCCACCACAATATTTCAACGGCGCTCAAAATTCTTTGGATCCCACCACAATATTTCAACGGCTCTCAAAATTGTTTGGATGGTATCAATTGGAAATCCTAGGAGGACCCACTTGTTTGTTTGTCAAACATGAAAATTTAGTTCCGCCAAGGAAGAAGAGATTGAGAGAGAGTGGTGGAGGCTTACCCTTTTGGGTTTTGCGTGGAGGAGTTCCGGTGAGATCTTATACAAATCTTCATCAACAGCTTTGGGTGCCCTTCTAGGTCTAGGTGGAGGAGATAGTGGCAGAGGGCTTGGTGGATCCTTCGTATCACAGTCACAGTCACAGTCACACACCACCCAACCTTCCTTTTTCTCCTCCTTCACATGTGGGTACCGAGCTTTCCCCTGTAGTTATCATCATCATAATAATGAAATCCTATGAAATTCCCCCATTTTCAAAAATGTAGGAGACCCTCTCAGATCTTAGCATGGACAAAAAACTTGACAAATTCATGTTAATTACTATTAGCCAAGATCCTAATAACGTCTAATTAGCTGGAAAAAAAACAGGGTATTCGCAAGAGAATGCAGCATTGCTTACCCTTCGGCGAGGAACAACGATCATGGCCGGAGTAACCACATCGTTCTCGTAGAGATCACCGGCGACGTACAGATCTCGATCTTCAGAGTAGCTATAGCGAAGCAGCCCGGCTTGTCTTGCGGATTCAAAGCACTGAGTGAAAGGGAGGTCATCGGTGCAATCCCAGCTCCCGAAAGCCGGAACGTGACTTCTCTTGAAGTTGTAGTCCTGTTAATCAAAACCATAAACATACTTAATTACTTGTCTCCAGTGCTTCATAGAAACAAAAAAAGGAGGAAATTAAACGTTTCGTTAGGCTAAGGAGAAAAATTGCTTACATCCATTAGACTTTTGGAGTTTCAACAAAGCAGTTTTAGAAAATTGTTGGAGATTGACCCCTCAGGCACCAAGAGTTAAAAAATAAGCCTCTTTCTTATCTCCTTTATATTGTGTGAGCATGGATGGCTTTAAAGGCAGAGAGAGAGAGAAGCTTTAAATGGGTCTGCTTTCTTTGGTTTCTTTGTTCTCGGTGGTGGGTTTAAAAAGTAAAGGACTAAGGAGAGAGAAAGAGAGAGAGGGGGTATGGGGATCCAAAGAGATATAAATTCCACTGCAGTGTACAAGAAAAAAGAAAGAGCAACCCAGATATCCAAGTATAACAGTAGCACACAGAGAGACAGAGAAGTAAGGAAAGGAACAGATCGAGGGAGAGGGGTTGCTTTACTTTTGCTTTTTGTTTTAGTGATTTCTTTACTTCTTTTATCAGGGGGGTCTGGTCTTCTATTGCTTTGCCTTGTTTGTCGTAGGTCAGTGTATATTCCAATGAATTCCAGATAAAGGTGGGATGGTGTTGGTGTTGGTGTCTTCAATCTGAAAGAGAAAAGCTTGAAAGTTGAAAATGGCTTTTAACCCCACACGCGTCATATTATAAACCTGGTGCTCTGTGCCCAGCCCACTGTGCCATCCCAAGACCGTAACTCAAGAAGACAAAGGATAAACTACACACAGACCCCATAAGTTCTTAATTATTGCTAGGAATGATAGTGGACCAAAAAGGAGGCAGGGAGAGTAATTTCTATCCTTTATTCGTTTTAAAAATATTTGTTCGTCTTCAGTCAATCTCTAATAGTAAAAAAAAAATTAATCTCCATACCCGCTCAATGGATATATTTTGATTCCTGTTCCCGTCATTATCCCCTTCAATAAGAATTAATTCCTATAATTTAAAAAAAATGAAAAAAAAAATTAAAAGTCCTCACAAATAGTTCTACAAGAATGATAAATCTCTATCATATTACAAATAGATCAAAAAAAAGAGAAAGTAAAGTATTTTTTTTTAGTAAAGAGAAAAGTGGATGGGTGGGTGTAATTTGTGATATTATATATATATATATATATATATATATATATCACGGGTTTAGCAGGGCGGAGATGAGTTTCAATTTATCCCCACCTCTATTCCCGCACAAATTTATACAAATATTCTCGTATGTTCACCGTTTAATATGTATAATTTAAACGAATATCTATTTTTTCTTAGTCCACCTTTTATTTATAAAATTGCAGTAGCCACCAACTCTCGATTTAGTTCACAATAACTGTTGGATCCGTTTGGTAGAAAATATGAAAAATTGAAATAATGGAAAGAATGATGGAAAGTTGGAAGGAATATATTTTCCCCATTATGTTTGGTATGATGGATGAAAAATTGAAGGGATGCATTTTCCTTTGTTTGGTATTGGATGAAAAATTGGATGGAAAGGAAAAATATATATACTAAATTTATCATTATACCTTTCACATCTAAATACATGAATAAAATTAAAGAAAATAAACCAAAATGCATAATTTTTTTTATAAGTATATAATATTTAAACACCCTAAAGTTTATAAGTATATAATATTTAGATTTTTTTTTTAAGTTTAAAATATTATATTTATACCAAAAATAACTCCAATAAAATATTAAATATTAAATATTTCAAATTTTACAATCAAAATTCATGTTATATTGTGTCATTTATTGAAATAAAATCAAAAATAAAATTTACTTATAAAGAAATTCTTCATTTAATTATTTAATGTGTATCTAACTAAAAATTATATGTATTTTTTTCATTACGTACATTTAATTATTAATTCTTCCATTACATATACAAAAGTGGGATCAAAGGAAGAGAGTGGTAGGTAAAATTGTCAATTCACAAAAAAAACTCATATTTCCTCCATTTTTAGTCCATTTTTTCCCCTTTGGGGAAAAATATTTGGTGGGCTTAAGGGAAAGCATTTTCCCTTCCATTTTCTATTTTCTCTCATTTTCCTCTTCATACCAAACAATGGAAATATTTTTTTTTTCTCCCACTTTCCGTCCTCCATTGTCCATCCTCTCTATTTTCCCTCCAACCAAATAGGGGGTTAATGATGGCATTTGTTGTTGAAACTCCAACAGCCATTAAAGTATCAGCAGAAGAAGAAAAAAAAACCCATTACCGGGCATAACAAAAGATTAGGTGTATTGATGTAATTTTAGAAACAAGAGGAGGGCGAAATGTATTTTATAAGAGGTAAAGTTATTTATAGTTAATTGGCGAGGACTAGTAGTAGACTAGTGCGTGAGAACACTGGAGGTCAACACTGTTAACAGATATGACAAGTATTGAATGGTGTGTAGTACCGAGAGTTGCAGCCTTTAACAATGCTAAACTGTTTACTTGCAGTAGACATAGTCCAAGAATAAATAATCATAAAAAAAAGTATTATATATTTTTTTATTGATAAGTTAAAAAAATAAATAAAAATATTACAGCTGGAACAAGAAGATGGAGAGAGAGGTGCATTGTGGACTTTGATGGTGCATTTGGTTTGGGAAAAGTAGAATTTCAATATGGGCATTAATGGTGAGAGTTGTGATTTGCAGTTGTAAATCAAGCTTAAAGCAACAGCAAAAGTTAAGAGTTTTCACATTCACCAAATGTCATGGAAAGTCTAGGCTTGTAGCCTTCTGTTAGACCCTGAAAATTAAAAAAAAAAAAAAAAAAAAAACAAATCTTCACATTAACAAGGCAAATCCATGGAACTTTTTTTTTATTTTATGGCAAGAGTGTTTGGGTTAATTTGTGCGCATGTTTAAAAAATACTAAATTCTTATGTAACATGAAAGGTCACAAATTCATTATCTCATATTGGTAAAACTACAAATGTTAAAAAAAAAATATTGGCAAAACTAAAATTAAACTGTTGTTTAACAGTTATTTGGACTCCATAATTCAAATACGGAGTTATATTTATTAGGATTAATTATAGATTATATCTTAAAAAATCATTGAAAATCAATTTTTACCTTCAAAAATCAAAAATTTTAATTTGTACCCTCAAAGAGAAAAATTTGTATCAATGTGCACCCTCAAATATAAAAATTTGTATCAATGTGCACATAAAACTAACTGCGGTCAATTTACTAACTGAATCTAAATTGATAAATTATACTTAGATCTCCTCATACTTGTCACTTAATTATTTAAACTTCTTCACAAAATAAAGGGTAATATAAAATTATAATTTTTTATTAGGATAAAATCATATTTTTTAACGATTATAAAATCATAAAAAAAATACTTTCAATCTAAAATGTCTCCCTAATTGGACATTCAAATAATTATGTTTAAATGATATATTGCATTGAATATAAAAAATATTATATAAATATCTACATTTTATTGGACATTCAAATGGTAAGTTTGATTTTGAACTTTAGAGTATATCAAACCCACAAAATAAAAGGTAATACGAAATTATAATTTTTTATTATAATAAAATCATATTTTTTAACGGTTATATTAACAAATATCAACTAAAAAGGGTTACATATTACACGCGCACAAACGTCATGAGATGTAGGAGTAATATTCTAAATGTGAAGAGGTTCAAATGATTAAGTGACAAGCATGAGAGGATCTAGGTATAATTTATCAATTTAATTTTAAGCAGCAAACTGACGGCGGTTAATTTTAGGTGCACATTGATACAAATTTCTATTTTTTAGGGTGTAAATTGAGATTTTTGATTTTGGGGGTACACATTGATACAAATTTTTATATTTGAGGGTACAAATTGAGATTTTTGATCTTTGGGGGTGTACATTGATATAAATTTTTATCTTTAAAGGTATAAATAGAAATTTTTTATCTTTGGAGTGTAAATTAAAATTTAAATAATTTTTCGAGGTATAATTTATAATTAATCCTATTTATTATCCATTGACAGATCCTGGATTGTCAGCCTGAATAGGTGTTTTGGGGCTTCTAGTAAAAATAACATTTTTCGAATCAAAATAAATTACACAACCCCACAAGGGGTCCCTCCCTCTCAAAATAAGAAAAAAACAATTCTTGTGTTTCCTATTCACCTTCTTCTGTCAGTACCCTCCGTCCATACTGATGTCGAAGCTATTTGTACAATCCATGAAAAAAGACTATAAACCGTAGCCTTGAGCATATTAAATTTGGTGGTTTGAACTGGTCGGAAGTCAGCTCTTCTTTTGATGTCTAGCTTATGTCCATTCCACCAAGTACTGTCTGCAGTAGCATCGCAAGGTGCCGAGAAGAGAGGTCGAAAAAAAAAGAAACACAAGGCTAATTGACTTTTTAAGCATGATTATTGATTGAGTAATAATGTTATTGGAGCTTGAAAAATTTAAATTTTAGGTAAAAGGGTATTACTATAATGATAAAAAGAATAATGTAAGTGTATAACTTTTAAACTTAAAGTAAAAATGAGACCCAAAAAAAGATAATGGAAGTCAACATGTAGTTTAGTCTTTGTTTTATTTGGACGAAATCAAGAGGTACATAAACTTGCTTACTGTGCCAGAGGTGTCGTCGGGGAACGGGTTTGACTATATCCACCAACATAAAATTGTCCGTTCGGTTAACTTCATTGGGAGGCAGGCACTCTATTATTTTGGTTGGTGTTTCAAGTTCATAACATCAAACTTTTCTGGGATTATATTCAACCATAATTTTCAATGACACTCGAGTACCGAAATACATATGCTCATGGGTGTCTTATGAACACTTGATAAGGTATGATCAACGAACCTCAAAGAATAGTTCAAATAGCTAGTAACAGGGGTAAGTTGTAAATCTAGACGTCTTGAATTTGAATGTTGATAATTCGTGATCAGGTTATAAGAGATTTATCCAATCTCAGATCCTGACCCTAAGTACAGGTGGAGGTGATAGAAATTAGTGATGGTGGCTAGTGGTGGTGATAGTTGGTAATTGAAAATACCATCTCATTTTAAGAAATGAAAATTATATACTGATGGGATTAGACATTCCACGGAAATAAGAATAAATTTTCATTAATAAATACCAACTATTGAATTGGATATTACTTAGCAATAATTGTTCTATTCAAATGCATCATTATCACTTACCAAAAACCACGCTAATAGAGTCAAATATTCAATGACCATTTAGTGCTTGTCAGGCCTAACTGGTAGATCTTGATGTGGGCTATTTTCTACAGAGTATTGGGCATTGGGTCCAGGTAGTTTAGTCCAATACACCGTCGAACCATAACATATAAAGGGCCTTTAAATGTTACCGATCAACTACTTTTTCACTCTCCGTGGACCGAAGTTCCCAGGGTCCTCTATAATCCCATGAGCAAAAGTAGCCCGTCACTCAAGGCCCATTGATAACTCTTAAAAAGCCTTTTAGAAGAAGATGCATGTCTGGATCAGATTCAAATTGGAATTTTATCAATTGAATTTATTTTTAAAAAAATTAACCCAAATATTCGATAGATTTACTATCATAATCCATATCCAGATCTATTGAAAATCAAAAAAATCTGAACCAAAAATACAATCCAATCCATAAACACAAGTAAAACTTAATTTCTGACAAATAAAATATGAATTTCAACTTTATTTTATCATTTATTTAATCTATTTCAACCACTTCTGATCAAAACTTAATCCATTATCAAGATTATGGGCTACTTAACCCGCCAATTTACTTGGTGGATGGAAGGGTGTTGGTTAGGAGAAAAATATTGAGTGTAACGGTCACACAATGTCAGTAATGTTACTTGGTGTAAATCGTCCACAAACAATTAAACCTAGAATTGGACTTTAATAATTTAATTTAAAAATCCAATTTTGGAATATCTATATTGCTATTGGTAAATTGACAATGGCATCAAATGGCACTCAGTTCATATCTTTTAAGTTTGATCATTGAAAGGGTGGGTCATTGATAAAGAATCGATTCCAAATCACAATGTTAGCAAATAGCACGCCTCAGCTTTGATTTTCATTTTTTTTTTGGGTCAATGATCTTAGAGTTTTTATGAGGAGTAAGAACAAAGTAATAAACCAACATAAACATTGCCATCTACCATAAGATACAAATCCATAGATATTATCTTAGAGGAACATAGGAAAGCAATCAAAACCCATCTTAAATGCCTTCAAAGTACCACCTCAATCAAGCAAAACCAGACCATAACATATTACAATTATATTTGATAAAACCTAGCAAGCACCACATATGACAGCATAGCCCTCCACCTCCCTTCACTGAGGAGGAGCAAACATGAAACCACTTCCTCTGCTCAAACCTTGACACCCTAATCAATCATCTTCATCATCTTCTTCTTCGAGAAACTCAGTGGCTTCTTCTCCAGAATTAGGTGGTGCAGCTTCATCAACAAGTGGCGATTCTGGCAGTTTCTCTTGTAAATAAAAATTATCTTCCTTTTCTTCATCATCATCATCTGATACCACCACTTCTTTGGGTTCTTCTTCCTCTATGTAGGCTGGTTCCACCGACTCTGTGGTTTGATCAGCTGGTGCGACCACTGTTTCTTCAAGCGTTGTCTCTTCTTCTTGATTGGTTACCTTTTCCTCATCAACCTGCTGCATTAGTATTTCCATGTTAAAGCATAGTTGGGAAAGAAAATTACAATGATGCATGCGTGAATGAATACAACTTAACCTCCCCCTCTCAATTCATTGTTAATTTGTGTAGCACTTGTTGTGAATCATATATATACACACAAAAGCCAGTTCCCATGGCGACAATCGTTCATTGTATTTTTCTGCTCTAAAACTTGTTAGAATACAGAATACAGTCAATTTCATTTCGACACATTACTTCGCAAACAAACAGTCCGCCAACGGCAGTAATCTCGCAGAACATAAATCAGTACCACAAGAGGCTCCAAATATTATTAAGTCTCCAGACTCCAGCAACTGCAGAGCGGGGATAAAGGAACAATAGGATTATAACATTGCAGAATCAATCAGAATGCCGAGACGCAAAGCCTTTAGGTGTTTGTTTTTGAAATATTTCAACAACATTTTAAAGACAAAATAGGAATGGACAAAAAATTTGAGAATTTGTTTTCTTTATATTGTTCAAATAATACAGAAACATCGTCAAACAATTCGAAACATTGAAATTTCGATATCCAATCACTCACTCATTTTGGTTTCCACAAAAACAAAAACTACCCATCATCATTCATGATAAACCATAATATTAGTCTACACAACTGGCAAACACTTGTTCAAGTAGAGTTGTATATAGTATCAGATTTAAACTGGGAACAACCATGAGAGAGAGAGAGAGAGAGAGAGCACCTGAACGGAGGCCATGGATGAATTGAGCAACAGAAAGAGAGAAGCAAGTATGGTAGGTAGCTAGGAAGGAGGGAAGCTTTGGAGGTGGCGCAGATACAAGGTTAAGATGTAATGACAGAAAACGATAGTGCTGATACCACCTATTTATAGGGCAAGGTCATTAGCAATGGTTGGCTTGACCTCTCTTCTCTTGGCTCCTTTCAAACTTGCACTTGTGCTCCAACTATCATTACTCTATTATTAATGTTCACAGATTTTTTCACTAAAGTACTTAATTAAGTGGGCCCACTGATATTTCTATCAAGTTAATCACCCTGTTTTACCAGTTTTAAGTCAAGCCACTTTGATTCTAAGCCGTTTGATCTGATCAAATCATATAAAACAATGTTGATGGACTGAGATTAAAGAGCTGATCCCTAATGTATGGGAAGACTTGAAAGAAAAGATAGAAGAACAAAACGAATAAAGGGAGGAGAGGCAAAGCAACGCAATCTTGCCAAGTTGTTCATAATTTATGGATTTAATTATCGCCAGAGAACCAATGCCATCCACGTGTTAACTTTTTAGTGGTCACAAGCTGCCAGGTGGGACCAATAATATAAAAGAGAGAGAGAGAGAGAGAGAGAGAGAGAGAGAGTCCAGGGGCGGTAGTGCCGGTGCTGGTGTTTAGATGCGGACCACTTTTTAGGTTCCATAATTGATGGCTTTGGTCTCTTTTTAAGTTCAAATCAGGTTCTTGCGCTTTATGAATTTAAGTTATTATTGAAATTCGAACCATAGGGTGGGTCACCATGGAGTGGTAAACAATCCGATCTAATGAGATCGGTTCAGACTCTGTTCATTTTCAAGTTGATTCAAGTTCATTTATTTAAAAAATGAATCAAATTAGAATAATTTTTTAAACGCACTTAAAAAACGAATCCAATAAATTTAACTTTTTTAGACTCAAATTCATAAAATTCGATTCATTTATATGTAAAATTGTCGAGTAATTCAAGTTCAAATTGTCTTAGACTCGTTTCAAACTCTTTTTTCTTATATAAATGAATCGAACTTCAATATTTATTGGGCTCATTTTGAAAAATGAAGTCGTTAGACCTCGTTATACTCAAATCTGTTCACTCGTGTGACACATTTACAATCTTAGGCGGCAGAGTTATCTTTTTTTAGGTAATGGTGATATAAAAAATTGAAAATAATCTTTTATCTCGGTTTTACTTATAAAAACTATTAAAAGATGTAAATTATCAATCTTTTTTTTTTTTGGGGGAGAGGAGGAAAGAAGGACTTGAACCCTTGACATTAAGAAAGCAAAACCTTCACAAGACAAAGTAAGAGTACTGTTGGACAAAGGCTCATTAGTATCAATCTAACACACACACACTCTCATCACAGTGGAACCAATAATATAGATCTCCAAGAATCAAAAACAGAAAGAAGACAACCCATGTGAATCAAAAACAATAGAGCCACAAAAAAGTAGGACGACCCAAAACTAGATGGGCCAATGACCACCCGTGAATCAGGAGTCCTGCCAAATCTTTTTCACGGGCCATTAATTCCCACCTCTAAATTTCTCTATATAGTTCGAAAGGCCTCCACGACCATAATATCTGAACAACTGAAGAGTAAGTTAGAGCGCTTGAAGAGAGCAACTTGTACTAGGCAACATGGAGATGGGGAGGAAGGCGGTGGTTCTGATGGTTTTCTTGCTGGCGGCGATCGGAGGGTCGAAGGCATTGAGCTTGTGTAACATAACTGAGGAAGGTTTGATGGCATGCAAGCCCTCTGTGACCGGAGCGACCCCTGCCGACCCAACATCTGAATGTTGTGAAGCTCTGGCAGGGGCTGACTTGACTTGCTTGTGTTCTTATAAGAACTCCTTGACCTTGCCTGCTCTTGGGATTGATCCTGACCTTGCCATGGCACTCCCTGCAAAGTGCAACCTCACCCCTCCAAGCAATTGTTAATGGTCTCTCTCTCTCTCACACACACACACACACACACAATTGGCATCCCATGCACATTCATCAGTATCTAAAAAAAATGGGCTTTAAGATGTTTGAAATATTCTTCCTTGTTTATTCTCTTTCAGGTACGTAAGAGGGCTACCTAGCCTTTAACTACGTTGAAGATCACTGCACTATTCTAAATGAAATAAGGAGTAATTCGTTTTGCTGAAGTTTAAAGTATTTCCTTTTACTCTTTTTTTTATGATGTGGCAAAAGAGCAAGACAGTCTCAAATGCAATATCCCTGGACTTGATTGATTGGACTATTTCGAATTTTCCACCATGAATAGATTTGAGAGATGTAAAAAAGTTGAGATTGTGATCGAACCCTGTGCTTCATTGGGTTAGCGGTGTGATAGCAACGCAATTAAAGCGAAACAATTCTACATACGATTCATAAACTTTTAAGTCATGAACTTGACATTAGACTGACGGAGGGCGTTTGAGTTAACCATGAAATTAAACGGGGCTCTGTATGTATATATAGAGTAATGTTATGTATTTCAAATTTTTATATTAAATTTATATTTTAAATTAGAAAGACCATTGAATTAGTAGGTTTCATTTAAAAAAATTGATGGGACCCACTTATCCGATAGTTCCCCCTTCATTCGTAATAGTGATTTAGGATAAAACTTTGGAATCCATAGTCTTTTCCATATATAAATGGGACTCGTATATATAAAAGTAGACTCATCATCTACAACTTTAAATGAAAGTTAATATCGATCACCCGTTATGAATTAAAATTAGGGGTGATAGTTTTTTACACAACTCAACGTATATGACACGACCTATTTATAAGTTGGATGAGTGTCAAACACGAACAATACGAAATTGACATGATTAACACGTTTCAATAGAATTATCAAAATAAAATACCAATTTTTTGTTATATTTTATTAAGTAGAGTGATCTAATTCTTGTATAAAAAAAGATACTTTCTCATTTTATTATTATATTTATTAATTTATTTTTTTGCGTAGGTTTGGTTAAGTGATAATAAAATTTTAAACATAAAATTAATCGTTAAATTTTTTTATTCATGGGTTATATAAATCAATATAAATAAGACAGGAACGAAAATAAATAAAACAGCACAATATGATATAATTAATTAAACAAATTGAATTAAATTTGACTAATATTCCAGTAAACTAAAAATAATTTAACACGAACAAAAACACCATTGCTACCCCTACTTGAAAATTTAGGTTTCTTTACCAAACCCGATTACTTGGTACCAAATATTGATCGGCGACTGTTGGGACCACTTTTTTTAAGGTCCGCGACCACTAAAACTTTCATTTTTCTACAGCCCAACGCTTTCTATTCTACCCAAGGCCCACATCCAGCACTAAATAATTCAATTGCTTAAGACTGCAAAGTTGTCAGATTTTCAAATTACTGTACATTCTTGTCGTATTAAAAATAGATTGATCGAAGAAAGCAATAAATTCTAATATAATACAGATAAATAAAAAATAAGATTAAATATGGTATTAAAATAATACATAATTTTATTTAATCCAATCGATTGTTTTGTTAGAGAATTATTTCATCATATTACTGTTGAATTAACAAAAATACCCTCAATCAGTATTTTTTACATTGTTGGTAACTTGATTTTATCATTTAGAGAGTTATAATAGTAAATATATAGAATAATACATTTGAGATAGATTATAATATTATCTTTCTTGATGGTATTAAAAAACCTCTACAATACAGGTCTATCGTATAAAAAATATACGATAAATATAAAACTAATATACGTTTTTGAAATTAATACAGTATCAAATTTGCTTATCAAACAAAATATTATGCCCGATTAAATAAAAAATAGTACAATCTAATATTTAATCCTCTTATAATATGTCTACTAAACGGGCTCTGTATATATATGACTTATTTGGTTGCCATATTAGAAATAAATGGATTAGATAAAGTAATCTAATTTAATATAATACGAAAGAACAAAAGACAAGATTAAATAAAGTATTAGAATAATATGTAATTTTATCTAGTGTTTGACAATATAGAGCATAAACATTGAATAATAGTTATTTAAATTAACAAAAATATTCTCAATCAGTATTTGTTACATTGATAATAACTTGATTTTATCAATTAAGAGGTTATAATAGTAAATGGGTGGTATTAAAATACCATCATAATACAGGTCAGACCTATCATACGAAAAATATACGATAAACATATATTTTAAAATTAATATGATATCAAATTTATTTATCAAACAAAGTATTAAATTTGATTAAAATAAAAATAGCAATTGAATCATCAATTTTTATAATCACAAGTGAAATATCACTGTATCATTTAGTTGTAATGACGTTCGATTAGGTAGACTTACTCATCACTGCAGTTTAATTTTATTGGTCATAATTAGAGCTGTCAAAATTTGACACGACACGATTAATTGATATGAATCGACATAAATTAAGTGGGTTTGAGTGATAAACGGGTCATGTTCGGATGAGACCTGTTAAACCGTTTATCACACGTTTATGCGTTTAAATAAAATTAATATAATAATAAATTAATAATTATTTTAAAAAATCAGCAAGAAATAAAGAAATCAATAAAAAAAAGAAGTAAAGTAGTAGTTCAAAGACAAAATAGAGGAGATGAGAAATACTTCAAAGACAAAGGCAAGTCTTATTTGTTCCACATTGAAAAATGACGGTAGATGGGAAGGGTTGAGTTGCCTATAAAAAACAATGACCTCTTACTGTTGTTTTCAAGCCTTCAAGTCTTATTTGTCCCACATTGAAAAATGAGGGGTGATGGGAAGAGTTAAGTTGCCTATAAAAAACAATGACCCCTTACTTTTATTTTTCAAGCTTTTAAGTTTTATTTGTCCCACATTGAAAAATGAGGGGTGATAAAGAGAGTTGAATTACCTATAAAAAACAATGATCTCTTACTTTTTTTTAAAAATTTTCAAGTCTTATTTGTCTCACATTAAAAAATGAGGGGAGATAAGGAAAGTTGAGTTACCCATAAACAGTAATGACCTCTTACTCTTTTTTTTAGGCCTTAAAATCTTATTTTTATGAGATTTGATTAAAAAATTTTTGAGGTAAGTACAATTGAAAATAAAAAAAATAGTATTAAAATTTGTTAATATAATTTTTTTAAAATTAAACGAATTAAACAAATTGTATTTATCCGTTTATTAAACGTATCGTGTATGAATTTATATATTTTTTACCCATCATCAGTTTAACCCGACGCGTTCGACACCCCTAATCATAATATTGTTGCTATTATTTATCTATATCTATTAAATAAAACAAACAAATTAGAGAAAAAAAAAAAAAAGATGTGGAAATCCTTCCATCCTCATTTCCTAAATTTCCTAAATTTTACTTATTTTTAATTATTATAGTAAAATCCCTTCCAATCAAAATCTATCATATTCTATAATGTTTATTTTGTAATAACCCCTCACTCCCCACTAATTAACCCAGTACAAACGCAAACTACAAGCCCGTAACATGGAATAGTTTTCACCCTACCGTTAAAGGTTAAACGCATTACTGAAAAGCAACAACTAGTTTTATCCAAGAAGCAAAGCAGCTTCACGAGAAATCACCACCTAGTTACGGCCATCACCGTCCATGTTGGGGGACCACAAAAATCCCACAGCTGTCCAAACTGCCAGACAAAGATGATCTTGCAAAAAGGCCACAGACGAGTCAAGAGCTAAATCGTTCTCACTAACGGCGTCAATGTCAAATAAAGAGCTTTCTTACTCCCTCCAAATCCGTTCACGCTCCCCAAGGCGTTTTCCAATCACCGAAGCCTCCAACATTTATTTAAGTATCAAATACAATAAACACAAAAAATATTAGTACAAGAAAAGACATCAAAGTAAGATGTAGCCTAAAACGAGGCACAGCAATAAACCACTCCTTGAACACAATCCCCGTTGGTTAGAGGTTCAAAAGTCAAAACTACCCTTGATCACATTTTCCACACACGACTTAAAGTCAAACATCCATTATAGAGATCATGCAAAGATAATAATTGCCACCTGCCAGTTAAAGCTAATCAAAGTTTAACTCCAAAACTCATCAACAAACAACTAAAAAACAAAAGTATGAACACTAGACCTCATAAAAGCCTGTTCATAATCCGAGTTTAACTTCCACATACAAGTGGGATTAGATATTTTGATTAGACAAAACAAGAACAGACTGAAAAGTAAATCAGAGACTGTTCCGAGCAATCAGAAGGCTCTTAGGCTTCCACGTCAACGGGATTCTTTGCAGGAGAGCAAATCTGCCAGACGAAGCCGTACGGGTCCTTTAGCTTGCCCACGCGCCCGCCAAAGCACGTAGCATCACCTTCAGTGGTTTCACCCTCCGAGAGTGCACCGGCATTCACGGCTTTTGCGACAGCAGCTTCAACATCCTCGGTCTCCAGGCAAATCACACATCCGGTACCCACACTCTTGATCCTGGCAATACACAACCATTTATGTACCAACAACTACACTATGATAGTAACAGAGAAAGAACTACCGCGAAAGAGAAGGGATTCGTATGAAATCATGAGTAGAGCATGAAAATACGTGGAATGTGCAACCATCCTAAAAAACCAACAGCAATCGTACCTAAACTTCTACAAGAGCACCAAATGCGTGAACATATAAAAACAAAATCTAAAACCTGAGCGAAAAAGTAAAGATCTACAAAAAAAAACGCCTATGTAGGACCTATCCCGCACCCAAATAATTATCGAAAAATTAAAAGGGCAGTTGAACTATCAGGCCTAAGCGTTTCAAACACCCACAAGCGATCAAAAGTATTGTAAAGTAAATTAAAGTACTGTTCAGAGATAGCACCCTTAAAAACCGAAAATAATCAAACTAAACAAAGTAGGGCTGCAAAATGGAAAATAAACAAGAAAAGTTCAGGCATATTATTATCAGTAATACAATAACTAAGTAAACAAATAAACAAGCAACCGGTCAACCTGCGAAAAAGAAGACCAGAAAAAGCAGTATCATGGCCAAAACACAATAACTTCAATGATAGCCACAAAAGTATAGAAAAAAGTTAAACAAACCATTCTACGAGTCTCTAGCAGCACAGATCTTAAGAAAACCCAAACAAACAGCGCAACAACACAACCAGTAAGGAAAAAGGGGCTTACAGTGCAGAAGAGTCATCATTGAGGTCAGATACGAGAATAGTGAAGGATCCGAGTTTGAGTTCAGCATACAGAACCAAAGGAAGTTCCTGATCGGCCTTCCTCTTCGGATGCAGGGCACGGTTCACTTCCTCGGCTCCGAAGGCTGCCTTATAGAACTGTACGGCGTCGTTGGCCTTTGATGCCTCCACGAACAGCTGAGGCTTCACCGCCGTGAACGTCACCACTGTCGAGCCTCCGTTCTGGGCACCTACTCCGTCATTAACCTCCTGAGCCATTGCAGAGATGAGAGAGAACTTCAAAGAGAAATCTACAACGGAGACAGAATAAAAGAGGGAAAATAGGAGTGGGTAGTGCGGAGTTATGGGGTTATTTATAGAAGCGAGGAAGCGGAACCGTTTGTGCTTTTATGGATAAAAACCGGACTTAAAATAATCGTACAATGGAAATTAACCCTTTAACTTGTAACTTATTTACGATGGTGCCACTGAAGTAATGTCGATTACAAATGCCCCGTCCAGTTGTCTTAATTTACGATAATGGGCAGACATTAGAACATCTCGGACCATACTCAATAAAATAGTTATTTAAAATATATTTAAATACTGAATTATCTACTTTAATTAATTATTTTTTAAAATTTACTGTAATCACACTCTCTATTTTAACTTATTATTCTAAATTTTTAATTAATTTTAACTCTCTATTTTAACTTATTATTCTAAATTTTTAATTAATTTTAACTAACTTTCAATAATTAGATTTAAATATGCACTGTAATTCGGGCAGGGAGAGCAAAACTACATTGCAGTTCAGGGAGTAAAACAGGGAGCAAAAGACCCACCCCAATAAAAACAACAAACCTCAAAAACTAGCATTTTATATAGCAGCAAGATTCCACTTTTTTCTCTCCTGTGTTTTCTTTGCAACCAATTCTGGATGACCCAGTTGGAAAATTGGTAGAAACAAAAACCAGCAAGGATTGATGCCAGTTCAATCCGTTTACTGAATAATATTTCGAAGAGAACAGAGACACCCCACACAACCAGAGTGGCAATGAATAACATCCCCGCCTTGTTCTGTTTATCATGGCTCACCCTCACCATTTCTTTGTAAAACCTTTCTCTCTCTTCTCATCTTTCATTTTCGCATGTAAAAAAAATTAACACAAGATTCTACATGGTTGAACTGCATATCTCATTGAGACAATTCATCAAACATATTGCGAACAATTAAAAGAAACTCATCTCAAAATATTTCAACAAGTCAAGCTAAGCGAAGATCATTCACAGAAAGGAAGAGAAAACATATATTTTAGGAAGGAAGACATGCTTGAAGGAGGAAGGAGGACCGATTCACAGTGGGGAAATGGAGGAAGGAAGACAGGCTGGCGACTGAAGGGAGAGAGATTGGCGAGCAAATGGGCTTCCTAGATATTGGCAAGGTGGGTGGCTAGAGGGTTGAAACACCAAATTTGAAATTCTGCTTGCCAAAATGACAAAAAGACTGACATTGGCAAAGGGGTCGGAGATGCTCTTATGGAATCAACGGCTATATTTTGTTGACAGTAATACTCTATTGATTAAATTTTAAAATTAAATTTAAAGTCTAAATAACATGATAGCTGACTATTTAAAATTTTTATTGGAATGCAAATAACTTAACACTAAATAAAAAAATTCAAATAAACTGTCATATTATCATATTATTTGAATTTTAAATTTAATCTCAAAATTTGATTAATATATCATTATTCGTTGGTTGATTAGCGACTCCAAGGAGAGGAGAGTCGTTAAATGCTTTTGTGGTGTCAGCAGATAAAAAGGCTGGCGTGCCTGTATTGGTAATTTCAACAATGAAATCGTGCGGTACAGCTGATGGTTGTTGGTTGCGAGTCTTGTGAACCTGCGGGATGATCAATGTGCCTGTTCTGCGTGAGACCCTTTCGACAGCCTTCTCAATTCATGTTTTTTTTTAGGGTAAAAATCATTCGGACCTCTTGAGTTTTGTCTTAATGACACGGACACCCTTGTATATTTTATTAATTACAATGACACCCCTTATCATAAACGGAGTTAACAAAAATTGTACAATGACAAGAATAACCCTAATTTTTCTGAATTATAATATTACCAGTCAAACCACAATGCATAAAGTAACATAAATATCCATCTCACTACCAAAACCCTAAAAAATCAAAACCATCGTACAACCCATCGTTTGCACAAAGAAAGAGAGAGAAATCGAAACCCTTCACAACCCGTCGTTTGCCAATAGCCCGCTAACCCTTCTCATCCCAAATTGAAACCTTCATCTTCCTTTTCCTCCCCGATTCCCCTGCAACCTCCTTCTTTCCCTAATCCCACAAATCTTATCACCTCTCGAACTCAAAAGCCCTAAATTCCACAATGTATTGGCTCCACCAGAGATCTAACCCTACAAGTTGAGCGACACATATTGGGCGTTAATGTCAAACGATTCTAGTCCACCACTTTGCTCGAATTCTTGCGCTATCATACTCGTTTCAAGAGTGTCAAGCTAGGTTGTGGCCAAGGTTTCTCCACTCACTCTTTCTATCTCAATATATGTATAAATAAATAACCATTTTCATTCTATATCCATATATCTCAATATAAGGAACTGATTTTTCTGTTTTCCTCCACCTAAGTACATAGATACATATGTATAGGGAGGCTAATATTATAGCAGATTTTATGGCCTTTTTGCTGTTAAAGTTGAGAGAGTTCTACTGATTTTTTTGCAAATGGTCCAGAAATGCCTAGAGTGATTCTGCATCAGATTTTTCTAGTTGGTCCAAAAATGCAACATTTGTATAGGAGAGACTTTTCACATTTCTTTTCTGGTTTTGTACTCTTGTAATTTTGAAATTTAATCAATAAAATTTTTCTTTTTTCTTAATTGGTTGATTCTTCATATCAAATCATTGTAGATGAACTATATAGTGAATCCACAGGAAAATAATGGAGAGAGAGAGAGAGGGTACAGGTTTAAATTTCTTCACTCAGTGGGTCAGAAGGATATAATAGTCTTTCTATTATATATTTTTTGAAAAATTTTAATATATAATACTTAATCTTACTATTGAGGACTAATTTTAGAATTACAATGGTTTTTTATGGTGATGTCACTCTTCTCCGTCTACATTATTGACGGCCATGGAACGGAGGTGGTGTCCGTGTAACGAGTTTCCAATATGAGGGGGTGTCACTGTAATTAATAAAATGTGAGGGGGTGTCCGTGTCATTAAGACAAAACTCAGGGTCCGAATGATTTTTACCCTTTTTTTTAAGGGTAAACTCCATTTCACGCCCTCTTGGTTTATCCTAATTTCAGATGACCTCCTTATGAATTGAAAATTGTACATCATTCTGTAGTAGTTATTGAATCAAAATGCAATATTATATTTTTCATTTAATTTAATTGCCTGTGAAAATTTCGCGCAATATGAAAGACTGGGATTGAAAAAGAGTTCAAAAAGACCAAAATACCCTCACCCCTTCACATACATTTTTTTTCTCTCTTGCACAGATTTTCTCTCCACATTCAACACCCATAAGCATGTACTTCCTCCTTTTGACTACCACGACCTCCTATTATCACCCTTCTCATCTTTCCATTGACGACCAAGACCAGTTGACCACCACCACCACAACCACCCACAGCCTTCTCTTCAACTATTCATCCCATTTAACATAGCACCACCAAATATTCACCAATCCTCATTGAATAACGAACAAAGAAAATCCATGCAATGAAGAATTATGATGCCTTTGTGGTGGTTGATTTGAATCGCAGTGATGAAATGGGTATTCGTTGAAATGATAGTGATAAAGTGCATGTGTAATTTGAGTTGATGTATATCTCAATGTTAAGACTGTCTGATATATCTTAGAACTCAACTTGATGGCTAGGACAAATTCAGATGTTTAATTTGCAATTAAGACTTGATGGGTATGACAATGATGTATATAGCAGTCCAGTGAGTTCACGATTCAATGTTTGTTTAATTTGCAATTTTTTTCTAATTTCTTTGTTTTCAATTTGTTAAGTGTTGACTTTGTGATGAAGGTAATTATACTGGGCATTAGTAGTTCTGTTGTTCAATGAAGGTGGAGATCACAGTTGATGGTTTGGTTTTTTTTTTTTTTTTGTCAAATTGTTGATGGTTTGTTTAATTTGGGTAAAAGTATAGCGGTGGTGGCAACACAGTGGAGGAGGCATGGTTGCGTAATTTTAATTTTAATTTTTTTTTTTCATTTGTTACTTGTTTGTTTTAAAAATTATCGACTAGAGAAGAAAAATGGGATGAAATTGCTGGAGAAGAAGAGTAGAGGGATATCAAAGTCATTTTAACTATGCTGTTAACGGTGTTAAGTTGTTCATTTTGGTCCAATAACCACCTGAGGGTTCTATGCAATTTTTAATTCACAGAGAGGTCAACTGCAATTTGGGTAAACTATGAGGGAGTAAAATGAAGTTTGCCTTTTTTAAAAATTGTAATCCTACTAATTACCAGAAAATTGTAAAAATGGAGGGGTATTTATGGGAAATGGGCAACCGTGGAAACTCCGAGCAGAGGAGGAGTTAGGAAGTAATGCAGTCACCCGCTTTTGAAGCCTAATAAAAATTAAATATTAAAGGTAACGTAACGGTTATCTGTCATTGTTAAGATGTTTTTATTATTTAATAAAAATGTTAAAATAAAAATAATACTTTTAATTCATTATATGAAATAATTGTTGAATTATATATTTAAAAATTATTTGGTTGTACTCGTGACACCACCTATAAGTAGCAAGACGTTTAGTACAAATTTATTAGAGTGCATTAAGAATGGACCATTCGCTGTCCTGGGACCCGTGTCTGTATAGTTTAGTGACAAAATCAGATACTATAATTTATACTGGGACAGTGGACCATTTCACATTTCAGTACAAACTTGTAATGCTACATTTTTTCTTTTCTTTTTCTCTCCCTCTCGACATTGATTACGGAGGCTTTGGTCCGGACAATTCCGAAGAATGGTGTGGATAATATTAAGTACAAGTAATTTAATTTTAAAATAGAAAGTCAGTTTAATTAATATATGTACAAAATTCAAGAAGTATGGTTTTTCTCTATATTAATCTAGCATTGTATAAATAACCGTTTAATTATATAATTTTTTATTTCAATTTTGAAGTATTTAGACTTTTGTTAAAAAGAAAAAAAAAAGTGTTTAGACTAAGGTTGTTATTGATTGCCTTTAAACTAGGAATCAAATTGGTTTTTTCATCACAAATCGTGTAGAATCAAACTTTCTAATGGTCCGTTTAGTAGGGTGGCTAAAAACAATGAAAGGATGAAAAACGGGAGTAATAAACTTTATATCCTTCAAATAAGAAATTATTACTTCCCTCAATTGTGTTTGGTAAGAAAAATGAAAAATAAAAATGAATGATTTTTTTGTATTTGGTAAGATGAAAAAAGTATATTTTTTATTTATTTTAAAAAATACAAATAAAAAGAATAAAAGAAGGAGGAGTGACGTGTGAGAAATGCAAAATCAACCTGAGTTTAATATAATCTGATTTGAGTTGAATTTGTGTTACGTAATTCGGATTAATTTTGGGTTAAAAATCATATTAAGTTCGGGTTGCTTAATTCGAGTTAATAAAAGAAGGAGGAGTGATGTGTGAGAAAGGGAGGCTAAGAGTTTGAGATGAGATTCAAACGAGGGAGAGAGAAAGATTGAGAGTCTCGACCAGATGAAAGACGAGTGACGAGTAACAAAGGAATCTAAGAGTGATGGAGGCGCAGGGGTAAAGACTTGAAGTGAAGTGAAAATTTAGACTCTGAAGAGTGAAGATAAATATTATCCCTAATTAAATATACTTATATATTTATGTATACTCAAGTTCAATCCGATTTAATAATCGGGTTCAACTTGATTTTAATATTCGAGTTATATTCGACAATTCGAGGTTTCAATCTGAGACTTGCCCAAATTTAATTTAGGTTATGATTTTTTTGCCTAAATCCAACTCAAGTATTAAAAATTTTAATTCAAAGCTTATTTTTTTCGGATTAAATTCGAATTGACCGCCCAAATTATACCCTTTGTGAATTAGGATTCCATGATCAGGACCTCCTTATCTCTCGACTTTCAATAACACTAAACACTAAATAGGTTTATGATAAAAACAAAACACTAAATAGGTTTTTTAATTAAAAAATGTAATATTATTAAGGTAGGGTTAGTGTTTTTAACGCTCAGCCGGTAGAGCGCATGGCTTTTAACCATGTGGTCGAGGGTTCGATTCCCACAGACAGCGTTTTTTGTTGTTTAGATAATCTATTGACTTCCTTTTTCCTTCCTCTCACAATCAGAAAGACATTCTTTCTGGTGCTCTGTGCCATTTACAAGTTTGGAGGAGGGTCTCCCCTGAGAAATTGGTCATACTACCTCCCAATCTGAAGCTATTTTTAAAGGCGGGGAACAGCTCACTTCTGTCCTTGAAGAGGACACGGTCAATCTTGGATGTTGTTCACTCTTCAATTGATTGGAGGTTGTTTCATATTATCTCTTTCTTTTTTGTTGTGTGCATTTTCTCTGTTACAATTACTGTAACTCAAAACTTAAACCCTAGACCCTTTACTTGCTATGCATCATATTCCTCTGCTATACAGCAAAAAGATCCATTACAAAGAGCAAACCTGTTAGGACACCACTTGTGAGAATCTCACGAAAAAAGTTGGAAAAGTCCTAATATTAGTTTATTAGTGACCAAATTAAATAGAAAACAAATTGGAAGAGTTTTCCGATAAATAATATATCGACGTAAATTTTTGGCTGGTAGATACGCATTATATTTTTGTGTCATGTTTTCATAGTTTTTCCTATCTTCAAACTCGTTATATCGGCATTAATTATATGCTGTGCAAAACCAACAAAAATTGGTTGTCAAACACGCTGATAGAGGATGGGTTGCAAGAGAGAGTTATCAGCGAAAGATATTGCGGTGTGGGTTAAAGCCATGCGCTGATAGCCAAAATCAATCCATATGGCTTGCGTTTTCTAATTCCGTAGCAGTTATAGACATCTATTAGGTTCATTGAAAGCACCTAATGAAACTGGTTCTCTCAACTTTTTCAGATGAAATGTCCTAGTCCTAGTGAAAGCAAGATGTGAGTTCTTATGCCCACAATTCTGTCCAGCCACAAGACAGCGTTCTTTGCAACCATGGGCATGTCCTGCTGCCGTTAAAAAACTGAATAAACTAGCTGATGGGTACAATATGTTTCTATTGTCCTTGGTGTAACAGACTAAACCATACATTTTGGAGTTATATGTTTATATGCATGGGTATAGGAACTGCCAGCCCAAAGATCAGCCATGTGGTAGCGGAGAGACTCACTTGAGGCAGCAAGTCTCCTCAATAGCCCCCAAGAAGAGACCAATCCGAACAGGGCCATCATAGCCAGATGCAAGCAGCTGATGGGTACAAGTGAGATTCCAATCATTCACAATCTTAGGGAAGGGAAAGGGAACCAATGTGCGGATGTGTTGGCGAATATGGGAGTTCAGCAACAATGTGGTTTTGTTGTGTTGGATCATCCCCCTCCCCACCTTGGATACCTGTTCAATGCAGATCTTGCCTGTATTTCTTTCAGTAGGAACTCTGCGTAGTTTTTTTACCTTTCCAATGCACAAAAAAAAAAAAAAAAGGAACTGCCAGCCTGCACTGGTAGGTATTTTTTGGTTTTGATTCTTGGTGGACTCCAATGGAGTGTGTTCGAATGCTAGACGTGCTAATTTCGTCTGTATATTAAGCTTGTCTTTGGAAATTTATGATTTACATATCAATTTCCTGTTCGTGACTTATATTTCCTTTTAATTGTTGGTTGATTGTAAGTTAACTGTGCCCTTTACTTAAAGGAACATGCTTTCAGGCCGAACAGAACAGATATCTTTCTTGAAACTTTACCAGATGACACCCAAATCTCTAGATAAGAGAGAGCACTTCACTTTTGGCTGAATAGCCTTGTAAATTCAACATATATTGGCATGCTTTTTTATTTACACATGACTTCTAGGTAAAGAAAGACCTTGAACTCTGCTTTGCAATCAAAGCTTGATTGAACTTTAGCTTTCAGCATTAAGTTGCCTGAAGAACATTTGAGATACTACCATGTTGGGAAAAGTTAAAGCTTGTTTTGAGTCAAAACGTTTAAAACTTTGTAGAGGTTGAAGTTAAACCAAAGGTTCCCTCAATTTTTTTAACATTGCTTTGATGGGCTCGCTTAATTTTTCTACTGTCATGTTTGTTTTTAGGTATAACTCCTGTTTCCCTGCAGGTGTGGGTATTTCTAGAGACCCTTGGCATGGTATCACAAGGATTAGTTAATGGGAGGGTCACAACTAAGCCTCCAATCAAAATTCCATCCAGAAAAGTAGAAAACTGCAACCAGGTTGTCAAGATAGGGAAATTTTCCTGGGTTAATATTGCTGGAAATGATATTGTTCCAGGAAATAAGAAACTGGTATGGTATGGGGTATGCCCTCTATCTTATCTTTTGTAGTTACATTAAACTACTGAAACAAGAAACTGATTATTGGGTATGTCCTCTATCATATTGCTTCCTAGTTACATTAGATGTTCTTTGTTATTATTTTTTCAGTGGTATACATATAATTCCGTGAAAGTAGTTTGAGGTTTTTGACATGACATTCAGAATTTAATCTTCGGACCTGGTTGGTTTTTTTTCATTGGCTTATTGAACCAACACATAGAGAAAGCTTAAATGGGCCAATGTGGGTTGAAAAGTTGGGGATGAATTCTTTTTCCAGCTTATTTGTGGCAATTGATGTGATATAACATGCTTCATCTCGTAAAGAACTTAAGATTCCATTCCAATGGGAATGAAATTACGATGCTGACATTTTAGGGTGGATTAACACTGCGGTGAAGAATTCAGGACCAGAAACATATTGGAAGTTCCAAGATATCATATCCAAGAACTCTTTTTCCTTTGATGAGTATACAACTCTGATTGCTTTTAAACCTAGCTTTCATGGAAGTCCAAGGTCAATAGGCATCATAAATAGTGGTGCCTAACATGGTACAAACTAAAGCTTAAAGGCTTTTTTTTTCATAATGCAGTTATTGCTCTCTCAATAGAAATTTAATCTAATTCTGATTGAATTGCTTATTAAGTTGGTTGAAGGGGCGAATTTCAACTATCAGGTTAGGATTAGTTTGGATTGTAACTCAATTGACAGCCGTATCCAGTTGGTTCAGGGTTTATTGTTTGGCGGGCAACATAGCAACAACAGGAATCTTCTTAACCTACTTTTGACACAACCAAATATGACAAACCCAATCCTAGTATTCTGTCCAATCGAATTATGTTCATGTGTTTATTTGAGTTTTCATTTTTTGGGGATGCCTTGTCATTTGTGTGTGCAATGTTTCGTCATGAAAATCAATAAGATACATGGAAACTGATTCTGACAAATCCTTCTGACTTTTATGATTGCGACAATATAGTTTATGGTTTAGTGATGAACCTTGATTTTATCGGATAAGAGTCTGTCTGACTGAATTTTCCTTCTTGAGCTGCTTAGTGCTGTACAGCCTCAGCCCCCAAGCGGTTTATTGGAGTCTTGTTACAAAAGGAGAAAAGGGTATCCCATCATCTGATTTCAGTGATCTAAAAAGGTTTTATTTTTTATTTTTCTTACTAGTTGTGCTTAATATTTCTTGAAGATCTTCTGTCATTACTAATTATACTTAATTAAAGAATATGAAGTGACAGTGCATTATGCTCAGTACCAAGGGCAAGGTATGACTTCAGTGCAGTGCATGTTGAAACGTATATATAAGGCTGTTTAACATGTATATTTTGGGGAAATTAACAGCTATATCAAGAGCAGAATTTAATTTTGTGAGTTTGTGTCTTGTGGACTGTTTAATTATGCCTCTACAGCTCCTGTAGTATTGGGTTGGGCACTATGTAAAGCTGTTGTCCTAAAGGTTTGGTTAGCATGTACTGAATTGTCCATAGTTACCCATTTCAGGGGCAGGGAGGTATCATCAATTGTTTTGAATTTACCGCTTTGAAATTTTCATTATGCTGTTTGTTCCTTATGTTATTGCAGTAACAGTAGGTGCATTTGGAGCGTAATTGTAAGTTGATCGAATAAAGGAGGGCTTGGAAATAATATATTTCCATGTGGTGTAGGAGGCTGCTATAAGATCATGCACATTCTTTCTGAAATTACTCTTCAAGCTGTCTGGAATAGCGCTATAACCATTTTATGTTATCTACTGCTTCTTGCTTGTCTTCAGGTTCACTTCACTGCTAATATACTGGAAACTGTTGGTGCAACCTACATCATCAGTACTGCAATGAAGCTTGGGTGTTCAATGTTTTTGCTTCCTTAAGGCATAACTGAGGTAATTTACAACCTCTTGGATGAGGTTTTTTGGTTCTGAAGTTTCGATTCTTGTGGCCTCAAGGTGCAATTTGTGGCGGAGATGGATCTAAATTTTTTTTAATACAGCCTTTTGAAACAAATTCTTATCTGAGCATGTTCGTGTTAAGCATGAAAAATACTCGAGTCGAGAAGTTTGGATTGAAATCAAATTTGAACTAAACTCGGATGAATTGAGAATGAGTCCACAGTCATAAAGTTGTTTAGTGTAATACAAATTATACCTGGTGCTGAGTCACAAACCAATTCAGTGGTCCTAACAAAGGAAGCAACCATGTGGACCCTGCTTATCTAAACTTAAACCTAATTATATGATATTAGTTAAGCAGTCTTATTTTCAAAGCTTGATGTATGGCAAACCCGTAGGCTAGCCTGGCCTACCATATTCCTTTTTTTTCCATTGAAGGGGCTACATCTTAAAGAATAGCTCCAGCCAAGCATGCGTTTCAAGTAGCATATGTTTGTTTCTTTGTTCTTATTCAAGTTCTTCACTTGCTTTAATGGTGAACATATAAATTAGAAAGCAAACTTCTATGTTTTCCTATATCCAGAGATTGTGCCTAGGTGCCAACTTTTGTGCCGTTGGGCTAGACCGGTGGTCCTTGTGTCATATGCTAATAGGTGCCACTTTGGTGGGTCAATATGAACCTAACGCGCGTTCAATTTTTTGGTAAAAATTGACAGTATTAGTATTGGCTTGGGCGTAGTAGGGTTGGTTTCTACTCGAATTTCTAGTTTGAGTTGTGCAAATAGAGAATTAAACTCAAATTCAACCCGAATATTAGGCCAAAGATGTTAGTCCCAAGATGACCTCTCAATTTGCCCGAGTTACACCCTTTACGGTAGTTTAATTCCATGCATGAACAAACAGGCTACCCTTGGAATGCCCCAGCCTAAGGGGTTAGTTAATGTAAGTTACACCTTCCACCAGTTGACTATAGCTGATCGTCAAAATTCACGCGATAGCATTGCTACTTGAGGGGGGTTCAAATGCTCGTGAGCATGTGCAGGTCGAGTCGAACTTGAAGAAGAATCTAATTTTGACAATTGGATTTAATTTGGGTTTGAGTCAGGTCATTCAAAATCTATTTGAGATTAAATATATTTAAACTTGAAAAGCTCGGTTCGTTCAACACCTTAAACTTATCACATCATTTGGAGGGTTCATCTTGTGGAGAAAAAGAGTAAATTATACTTTATCTCTTAAATTATTACCTTTGTTTCACTTTGCATCTATAACTGTAAAATTTTTCACATTGCACCTTAAAGTATCAATTTTGTTTCATAGCACTCTAATAAATAACGATAAATTTGAAAATTTGTCAAATGAGAGTGGAAAACTCTAAAGAATTTCCCGCTAAGTGTACTACTTTATTTTACCTCTTTTATAACCAAATGGTCATTGAGAAGAACAAGAATGCTGGGCAGAAAAAAATTTGGAGCTTAAAAAGGACAAAGTTAAGGATATGTATTTTTTTTATCCTGTACATGTGTAATAAGCAGTTGTTTATTAATAATACAAATCATTCACATTGCGCATTTATCTTCAAAAAATTGACAATCGTTATTTGTTTGAGTAATATGAAACAAAATTGATATCTTAAAGTGCAATGTGAAAAAGTTTATAGTTGAGGGTGTAAAGTGAAACAAGAGTAATAGTTCAAGGGGATAAAATATAATTTACCTAGAGAAAAATCCAAAACTCTTCGGGCCACTTCATTGTTGTTCACAGCAATACTATTTGAGTTTAATTTATTGTAATTTAATGTTTGATGGACTGGTTGTGAGACTATAAAATATTAAAATTTGACATTAATCTAATGATTACAATAAAATTATAATTAAAATTTTAAATTTAAATAACATTACTCATTTTCGATATAGTTTTAGGGTAAAACTATGATTTGGACGGTTGGAAAATGGTTTTTTTTTCCCAGAGAGAGAGAGAGATCAGTTATTTTAGTGAAAATCTTTTTAAAATAATGAATTAAAAAATAAGATTTGTCACAAAAATAAATAAAAAATCAATTAAATGATTTGCTTTCTATAATTCCTATACTGACAGGGTTCAAACCCTTATTTTGCCTTGATATCGAGACGTAATTGCAAAATATAGTGAATGTCTCACATGAATAACTAAAGCTTAAAACTCCTAGTTTAATTGCTTCATCTTCACAAAGCAGCAGCAAAATTCAATAGCTCATCTCTATTCCAGTGTATAGATTGGAGCTCAGCCTAGATATCATATATTTTCAACAAATTTGTAGATACTAAACCCAATTGGGTTTTGGTATTTTAGAGTGATCCTACGTCTTGCGGATTTTTTTTGCCAAAAATTATTATGGAGGAGAGAGATAGACAAGTTTTAAACNAGTAGCATATGTTTGTTTCTTTGTTCTTATTCAAGTTCTTCACTTGCTTTAATGGTGAACATATAAATTAGAAAGCAAATTTCTATGTTTTCCTATATCCAGAGATTGTGCCTAGGTGCCAACTTTTGTGCCGTTGGGCTAGACCGGTGGTCCTTGTGTCATATGCTAATAGGTGCCACTTTGGTGGGTCAATATGAACCTAACGCGCGTTCAATTTTTTGGTAAAAATTGACAGTATTAGTATTGGCTTGGGCGTAGTAGGGTTGGTTTCAACTAGAACTAAATCCAAATTAGTCAATTCTAGTTCTACTCGAATTTCTAGTTTGAGTTGTGCAAATAGAGAATTAAACTCAAATTCAACCCGAATATTAGGCCAAAGATGTTAGTCCCAAGATGACCTCTCAATTTGCCCGAGTTACACCCTTTACGGTAGTTTAATTCCATTCATGAACAAACAGGCTACCCTTGGAATGCCCCAGCCTAAGGGGTTAGTTAATATAAGTTACACCTTCCACCAGTTGACTATAGCTGATCGTCAAAATTCACGCGATAGCATTGCAACTTGAGGGGGGTTCAAATGCTCGTGAGCATGTGCAGGTCGAGTCGAACTTGAAGAAGAATCTAATTTTGACAATTGGATTTAATTTGGGTTCGAGTCAGGTCATTCAAAATCTATTTGAGATTAAATATATTTAAACTTGAAAAGCTCAGTTCGTTCAACACCTCAAACTTATCACATCATTTGGAGGGTTCATCTTGTGGAGAAAAAGAGTAAATTATACTTTATCTCTTAAACTATTACCTTTGTTTCACTTTGCATCTATAACTGTAAAATTTTTCATATTGCACCTTAAAGTATCAATTTTGTTTCATAGCACTCTAATAAATAACGATAAATTTGAAAATTTGTCAAATGAGAGTGGAAAACTCTAAAGAATTTCCCGCTAAGTGTACTACTTTATTTTACCTCTTTTATAACCAAATGGTCATTGAGAAGAACAAGAATGCTGGGCAGAAAAAAATTTGGAGCTTAAAAAGGACAAAGTTAAGGATATGTATTTTTTTTTATCCTGTACATGTGTAATAAGCAGTTGTTTATTAATAATACAGATCATTCACATTGCGCATTTATCTTCAAAAAATTGACAATCGTTATTTGTTTGAGTAATATGAAACAAAATTGATATCTTAAAGTGCAATGTGAAAAAGTTTATAGTTGAGGGTGTAAAGTGAAACAAGAGTAATAGTTCAAGGGGATAAAATATAATTTACCTAGAGAAAAATCCAAAACTCTTCGGGCCACTTCATTGTTGTTCACAGCAATACTATTTGAATTTAATTTATTATAATTTAATGTTTGATGGACTGGTTGTGAGTCTATAAAATATTAAAATTTGACATTAATCTAATGATTACAATGAAATTATAATTAAAAATTTCAATTTAAATAACATTACTCACTGTTGATATAGTTTTAGGGTAAAACTATGATTTGGACGGTTGGAAAATGGTTTTTTTTTCCCAGAGAGAGAGAGAGACAGAGATCAGTTATTTTAGTGAAAATCTTTTTAAAATAATGAATAAAAAATAAGATTTGTCACAAAAATAAATAAAAAATAAATTAAATGATTTGCTTTCTATAATTCCTATACTGACAGGGTTCAAACCCTTATTTTGCCTTGATATCGAGACGTAATTGCAAAATATAGTGAATGTCTCACATGAATAACTAAAGCTTAAAACTCCTAGTTTAATTGCTTCATCTTCACAAAGCAGCAGCAAAATTCAATAGCTCATCTCTATTCCAGTGTATAGATTGGAGCTCAGCCTAGATATCATATATTTTCAACAAATTTGTAGATACTAAACCCAATTGGGTTTTGGTATTTTAGAGTGATCCTACGTCTTGCGGATTTTTTTTGCCAAAAATTATTATGGAGGAGAGAGATAGACAAGTTTTAAACTGACGATTTTAAAGTCTAATAGTGCAAACGGTGACTACTAACTCAATCGCTAACTTCATAATTACAGATAAGAAGTGAAGCTTAATGCATGAGTGTGGCGTAGAATTTGGTTTACTACATTTTAATCCACTGGTTAGATAAGTCAACCAATACGGGTGGTAAGAAGTCCAAATCATCATTGTTTCGCCTAAATTTTGGAATTTGTTACACAAAATTAATCATGGCGGATTCTTACTCTTTAACTAAATAAAGCTGCCCATGAAGAGGATGAAGAAAAAACAATGCATTGTATTCGATTGGAAATCCTCTCTCTCCAGAAATCTAATTCTATTAGAAAATAAGGTTATCCCCGTGTGCTCTAAATAATGCAATTTTGAGACAGATAAATGAATCAAGTCGTGTATTTTTTTTAATTGATTTAATCTATACTCAATTTGTTTATTAATCGTTTCATATCGGACCACTTGTTTACAAAACGGGTGATTTAAGAAAAAATCAAATCCTCTAATTTTGTATTATATTTATTTTTTTTGTGTTAATAAATCGTGTCATATTTTAACATCATTTCTTACCGTCCATACGTATTTTTCAAGTTCGATTTACATCGGAATTGACATTGCATTGTTGCTATCTCCAACATCAAGAATTTTCTCTGCCCACACTACCCTCACTTACATTCCAATGTCACCACCACTTCTCCAATTGCCAACCGCCGCTTTGGTTCAAAAGTCAACCACCTTTTGTCAGTGCCGCGGCCGGTGCCACCACTACCACGGAAGGTCCACACCAGGTTTTGTCTGTGGCGCCGCCGTTGCCACTTGCCACTTGCCACCACCACGGAAGTTTCCTTACCGGCGCAATAGAGACAAATTAGGTGACAAAAACCATCACGAGAAATACTAGAGTTACAATAATGGAACAGAAAATGAAAATGAAATTGTCCCACCAATATCCATCCAAGTGGGTAATGGAACCATGTGCGATCATATGGTGGTTGGCCCTTTCCAGGCCCACAAAAACTCTCTTTTCGCCTCCATCAAACCTTGAAAATGAAACATAAAACTTATATTAAATTCATTCAATTATATAATTAAGATGCCTCAAGGATTGATTCCCAAGTCTCTACCTCTTCTCACCTCCCATTTTTCATCTTCTCTCCATTCTCCTTTTCTTCATTCCCCCCTCTCTCTCTCTTAGTTGTCTCAGAAGAAAATCTTGATCTGACACAAATCCTTTGTGTCAGAAGAAAATCTTGAACTGAAACGGTTGTTTCTGTTTCTGTACCCAACAGCCCAAAACCCTAAATTTTGGTATCATACTATCATCTTCTTTGCAAACCTTTCTTTTGACATCTATGATGACTTCGCGGCAACACTTAACCACAAACCCTAGTTCCATTAAAACTAGGTTTGCTTATCTGTTTCTACGAAACCTAAAGAGACTCAACAAATATCGACCCACTTCATCATCTTCGAGGGCGGTGTATCAGCGATATGGCATGATTAAGTTCGCTGCTGATGCATCCATGGCGTCTGCAGTCGGATCAAGAAGAGCTTGGAGTCGGGCAACGCTGTTGAAGATTCGAAATCGTGCACTGAACTGTACTTTTCTTAAACGAAGAAGAATTCATGCCTTAAGGAGAAGAAGAGCGGAACGAAAGTCACGAAACCCTAGACAAGAGTGTGCTTTTGGTCAAGCCAACGAGCTTCGCAGGCTTGTTCCCGGTGGTGAGGTTATGGATATATGCAACTTGTTGGATGAAACTGCACATTATATAAAGTGCCTTAATACCCAGGTACAGGTAATGAGAAATATTGTCGATTTCTACTCTTCTTGAGCTGTACCCTATTGTACTGTTGCGAATCTTTGCCCAGAATAGACTTGAATTGGGTGAACAAATTGAAGTGAGAGATGGTAATGGTTGACCTGGTTCGGATTAGGTTGGAAGTTGCTGAATATGGAAGCAAAGATTACCAGTACCTCTCCATAAAAAATAGTGTGAATTAAACATGTGGTTTCCTCTTTGTGACAAAGTACTGAGTTTTTTTCTTGGTGTACTGAAAGCTGTTTCTATACTTTTTATCTTAAATATTACAGTTGCTTTTTGTAGATTTTATTATAATTTGATTGCGTAAAGAAAATCTTTGACATATGCAATTTAATGATCTATAAATTGAAGATTAAAATGAAAATTCATAAATTTGGTCGCTAACGATCTTACGATACACCACAAAAAATAAGTGAATTCTTCTTACTATTACTTACATTAATATTTTCTCAATAATTTTTTTGTGAAAAGTTGTATGTTGATTTTGGGAATATTAACGATACACCAAAAAAAATTTTTGTAGATTTTTTTCAATGAAATTTTTTGGAAAATATTGTAATTTACCATTAATCAAGCATTTCTTCCTTTTAAAAAAAAAATTCAAATACTTTTCAGGGATTGTAATCTTTTAGCATAATATTATGGATATAGTAATTATGAAAATAGATAAATGGAAATAGTAGTAGTATAACCTTCTTTAACAAAAATATCTTGCTGTTATTATAAGGATAATGCTATCTTTTCTTTTTTTTTTTTTACTTTGGTAATTAGGTTACATAATAATGAATACTTTTTACCTTCATTTGCTTGATGAACAAATTTCAGTCATGTGTTAACTGTCTGGAATCTTGGATAAAATGATTCCTTCCTAATTCACATAAATATTTTGGCATTTACTCCTGTGATGCACTTTGCTATTAGTTTGAAAAGAACATTGCTAGACGATTAATATATTGTAGTGGTTGTGACTATACATATTAATGGGTGATTCTCAAAGATTAGCATAAGATTCTATTCTTAATCATCAAATGCAAAGGGAATCTTTTCATTTTTCCTGTTGACTTTTGAGATAGACCTACAATTTACTTATCACTTTCGCCAAGGTTGGCAAAACTAAGTAGTTTAATGCATTTTCCCCAAAAAAAAAAAAAATTCTTCGACTGAATGCATCTATGTATTATATTGTACTTGGTTTTGTACAACGAATAATTAACACTAATAATGCTATTTTTTTTTTTTGGTCATTGAAAAGGGGAGGGGAAGACCAATAAATAGTAACCCCCTTGGACGTAATTATGATGGTCCTCCCATTATAGAATTTTTTGTTTGGGTTATAGTTACTAATCCGGAAGGGTAGTCTGTTACCACAATACCACCAAAGTCAAATAACAAACCACGTTACTTTTGTGATTCGAACCCTGCTTGATAATCACATGTGAGTCAATGACAACGCTAAATGAATATGACTTATCACTAGACCACCAGCTTGGATGGTAATAACACTGGTTGAAAGATAGGAATTCAAAATAAGAAAAACAATAAAACATACACAACAGATATAATATAGTTCAATACAATGTACCTAGTACTTATATCCATGGACCAAAAAGCTACACTGATGAAATATTCACTGAAAAATTGGACATCTGATAACTAAGTATATCATACTCAACCCTATTTATAAGGATAAAATATTATCACAAAAACTTATTCAAATATAACTTGATCTCTATATCTCCTATCACATGTCTAATATATCTATTTATGGTATATTAAAACTCTTCAAATTTGTTTTCTATTTGATTTGATCATTAATAAACCTATTCAAAAATATTAGAATTTTTCAATTTCTTTCTTATTCAATGTCAAATTCTCACATGTGGTGTCCCAACGTAAATCCTCGCCCCAATGAAAAAAAAAATCGAACATTGGAACTCTCAAGTATTGATGCTTATTGATTGCTAGCAAGCTACTGGTACAAATTATTCCAATGGGCGAATTTACATTAAGAAGTCTAATACGAAACCAGTAAATGGGGTGAAAGGATAGGAAGTTCGGAAGAGAGGTTCACCAATGGGTGTTATAAAGTTGACATAGATGCATTTTCATTGCTATTATTGCAGCAGTTTGTAGAGTTGACACTAAACTATAAAATTCTCAGAAAAAAATTGATATAACTATGACATTAGTGAGTATAAAATAGTAGAGAAGGGAAAGAAATATGTATGGTGCCCTAACTATGACTTCTCTGAATGCAGTACTAATGAACCTTTTTTCTTTTTTTTGCATGAAAGAATAGATGCATTCACAGTAGAAGAGAATTAAGAAAAGGGAAAAGAAAAGATGAAAAACCTAGGCTTTCTGAAGTTATAAGATAGTCAATGGATTGAAATAGGAAGTAACATCAAAAATAAAAAATAAAAAAGATAAATAAATAAACGCCGAAACAGTAACTCCAAGCAATGGCTTTTCTTGTTTGGACCTTCTTTTGAATTCTCAAAACTTCCGTTAGTTCATCCTTATTGGATGTATGATGAAGATTTTCTTATATCTAGCAAAATCCAATTTAACAAAAGAAAATTGAGTTTCAACGTAACGATATGGAAGTTGCAGATTTTACAATCTGGGTGTGAACGTGATACATGCTCGGGTTCAGGCTCAAGCTCGGGCTCGGGCATGCACTTTGTGTCTGCAAGGTGTAGAACTGCCAATGTAGCCTAGGGTCCACAATGAACAGCATATATATATATAATGCTGATAAGTAGTGTTTTGGAGATGTTGGAAAGTGCAAAAAGACCTTTTCGTTTGAGCAATTCAGCCTGATGGTGCATAAATCTGCTTTGCACAAAATTAACAGTCAAGAATGTGTAAGGGTGTAATTAATGAGGAGTAAATAGGCAATCAATGAAAAAACAGTATATAAATGAATTAATACCAACATTTATAGTGGTTCGGTCCAAATGACCTACTCCACTCTCTGAAACGATAGCAGTGACTGGAGATCTTTATTGATAAATAATGTCACCTGGAGAATAACTCCGGGAGTATTACAATTCTTTTAGGAGAGAGAGAGAGAGAAAGAGAAGTAATGGGTGTAGGGGTCATGTCAAGATGTCTCCTCTTATGGAGAGAGTTTACATTATATAAGTTTAGTAAGACGGTAATGTGAGGGAGAAGGCTTCTACCATTTTGATAAATACAATTAAAGCAAGATTAGATCTTCGTACGTATCCCAATATTCTCTCCTCATACTATTATTCTGTCGGGAGGAGAATTCTGAGTTGGGTTAGATTTGAGTTGGAGTGTCAAAGTTAAGAGGACGAAGAACTCTACGAGGTTGCGTAGGACAAAGGAGGGAAGGGATTCCCTTGGGGTGTGCCCTTGATGGTGTCCCCCTTGGATTCTTCATTGACTTTAGTTTTCTTTAATTTGGGTTTTTTCTTGACTTGTTGACATGGGCTTTGAGATGACGTGAGCCTTTCTTGATTTGTTGAGCCTGACACAATTAATTTTGGACTCATCACAGTCCATTTTCACAGATATTTGTCTTGACACTACTATATCATTCCCCTTCGCGTTTAGCAGTTGTAAGTGAAGGTGATTATACTCATTCTTCCTGCCACAACATTCTGGTATCCTACGTAGGCCCAAGGCCCTAAATTCACGGGATTTTTGCCAAAATACTAGGCCAATAACATAAACCTACACTGTAGTACATTGCGTTGGGATAATTTATGTTTAACAATTGTAGTTCAGGTTTGTCTCTACTTTCGACACCAATTGTGATGTGCCAAAGATGTTTCAGTTTCAGACAAAAGGCACTCGAAGAGCACGTTCGTCTGTCTGAACTCTGATTCTAAAGTATACAAGTTGGACCTCACCGAATAGAAAGGGCCAAAAGGTACACAGCTCCATAACAATTTTCTCACAGTCCAATTGGGCCACACAAGAAACTTATGTGTTTGGTTGGGCANTTCGGAAAGGTAATCTGTTACCACAATACCACCAAAGTCAAATAACAAACCATGTTACTTTTGTGATTCGAACCCTGCTTGATAATCACATGTGAGTCAATGACAACGCTAAATGAATATGACTTATCACTAGACCACCAGCTTGGATGGTAATAACACTGGTTGAAAGATAGGAATTCAAAATAAGAAAAACAATAAAACATACACAACAGATATAATATAGTTCAATACAATGTACCTAGTACTTATATCCATGGACCAAAAAGCTACACTGATGAAATATTCACTGAAAAATTGGACATCTGANAAGTATACAAGTTGGACCTCACCGAATAGAAAGGGCCAAAAGGTACACAGCTCCATAACAATTTTCTCACAGTCCAATTGGGCCACACAAGAAACTTATGTGTTTGGTTGGGCAAATGGAGAAATATAATGATAAAAAATAGAGGCAATACACTCGAAAAAATCTTTCCTTCCCGCCTTTATATTTAGTAAGAGAGATGAAAAGTAAGTAAGATTAATTTTTTTGTATATTTGTAGGATCAAAAAGTAAAAAAATGAAAAAGAATATACATACATATTTTATCATTACATATACATAATATTAATGCATACATAATATATAATAAATAAATATCATATATACATATATTAAAGAATATATATATAGGTAAATATTATACATTTCTACACACAATTAATGTTTTCATCCACTTCTCCTAATTTTGGAGGAATTAATTTTGATGAGTTGAAAAAAAAGTTAATTCATCCATTTTTTCATCTTTTCTATTTTCCTTCTTTTTCAAATATTATGTTTTATCTATTCATTGAACTTTACATCTTTTCAACTTTCCTATAATCGAACCGTTACACTACCCAAGGGTGTTTAACAAGCACTTGCCGTCTTCTATCAAAAGTTTTTCGGATAGAGAGAGACTTCAGCCACATAAATATTCCGACTTCTATAAGTGGTTCTATAACATTTACAGGCGCAAAGGCTCTAGGAACTGTACAAGTTACCAGTTGCTCCCAGACAGACCAATGTTTCCACAATACACTTTTGTCTACCCTCATAAACAGTGGTGATCATGAACATGTTAGCCAGCTCTTNGCTTTTCTTGTTTGGACCTTCTTTTGAATTCTCAAAACTTCCGTTAGTTCATCCTTATTGGATGTATGATGAAGATTTTCTTATATCTAGCAAAATCCAATTTAACAAAAGAAAATTGAGTTTCAACGTAACGATATGGAAGTTGCAGATTTTACAATCTGGGTGTGAACGTGATACATGCTCGGGTTCAGGCTCAAGCTCGGGCTCGGGCATGCACTTTGTGTCTGCAAGGTGTAGAACTGCCAATGTAGCCTAGGGTCCACAATGAACAGCATATATATATATAATGCTGATAAGTAGTGTTTTGGAGATGTTGGAAAGTGCAAAAAGACCTTTTCGTTTGAGCAATTCAGCCTGATGGTGCATAAATCTGCTTTGCACAAAATTAACAGTCAAGAATGTGTAAGGGTGTAATTAATGAGGAGTAAATAGGCAATCAATGACAAAACAGTACATAAATGAATCAATACCAACATTTATAGTGGTTCGGTCCAAATGACCTACTTCACTCTCTAAAACGACAGCAGTGACTGGAGATCTTTATTGATAAATAATGTCACCTGGAGAATAACTCCGGGAGTATTACAATTCTTTTAGGATAGAGAGAGAGAGAGAAAGAGAAGTAATGGGTGTAGGGGTGTCAAGGTCATGTCAAGATGTCTCTTCTTGTGGAGAGAGTTTACATTATACAGGTTTAGTAAGGCGGTAACGTGAGGGAGAAAACTTCTACCATTTTGATAAGTACAATTAAAGCAAGATTAGATCTTCGTACGTATCCCAATATTTTCTCCTCATACTACTATTCCGTCGGGAGGAGAATTTTGAGTTGGGTTAGATTTGAGTTGGAGTGTCAAAGTTAAGAGGACGAAGAACTCTACGAGGTTGCGTAGGACAAAGGAGGGAAGGGATTCCCTTGGGGTATGCCCTTGATGTTGTCCCCCTTGGATTCTTCATTGACTTTAGTTTTCTTTAATTTGGGTTTCTTCTTGACTTGTTGACATGGGCTTTGAGATGACGTGGGTCTTTTTTGATTTGTTGGGCCTGACCCAATTAATTTTGGGCTCATCACAGTCCATTTTCACATATATTTGTCTTGACACTACTATATCATTCCCCTTCGCGTTTAGCAGTTGTAAGTGAAGGTGATTATAGTCATTCTTCCTGCTACAACATTCTGGTATCCTACGTAGGCCCAAGGCCCTAAATTCACGGGATTTTTGCCAAAATACTAGTCCAATAACATAAACCTACACTGTAGTACATTGCGTTGGGATAATTTATGTTTAACAATTGTAGTTCAGGTTTGTCTCTACTTTCGACACCAATTGTGATGTGCCAAAGATGTTTCAGTTTCAGACAAAAGGCACTCGAAGAGCACGTTCGTCTGTCTGAACTCTGATTCTAAGGTATACAAGTTGGACCTCACCAAATAGAAAGGGCCAAAAGGTACACAGCTCCATAGCAATTTTCTCACAGTCCAATTGGGCCGCACAAGAAACTTATGTGTTTGATTGGGCAAATGGAGAAATATAATGATAAAAAATAGAAGTGATACACTCGAAAAAATCTTTCCTTTCCGCCTTTATATTTAGTAAGAGAGATGAAAAGTAGGTAGGATTAATTTTTTTGTATATTTGTAGGATCAAAAAGTAAAAAAATGAAAAAGAATATACATACATATTTTATCATTACATATATATAATATTAATGCATACATAATATATAATAAATAAATATCATATATACATATATTAAAGAATATATATATAGGTAAATATTATACATTTCTACACAATTAATGTTTTCATCCACTTCTCCTAATTTTAGAAGAATTAATTTTGATAAGTTGAAAGAAAAGTTAATCCATCCATTTTTTCATCCTTTCTATTTTCCTTCTTTTTCAAATATTATGTTTTATCTATTCATTGAACTTTACATCTTTTCAACTTTCCTATAATCGAACCGTTACACTACCCAAGGGTGTTTAACAAGCACTTGCCGTCTTCTATCAAAAGTTTTTCAGATAGAGAGAGACTTCAGCCACATAAATATTCCGACTTCTATAAGTGGTTCTATAACATTTACAGGCGCAGCTTATACAAAAGGCTCTAGGAACTGTACAAGTTACCAGTTGCTCCCAGACAGACCAATGTTTCCACAATACACTTTTGTCTACCCTCATAAACAGTGGTGATCATGAACATGTTAGCCAGCTCTTTTAGTCTAAATGAATTGTAATATTGGTATGCATCTATAATTATTGATCTACTCTGCCGTATTAAATTACCCTGGCCACTGTCCTCAAAGATGCAATGCTGCTTGGTTAAGCCCTGACAGTCAAACCGGTTTGCAGGATTAAGAGAGATGGTAGGTCCCTAATTCGATATCCATTGCCCCAGAATGAGGCTAGACAAAGGCCCATGATGGCCATGGCAACTACCGAGCATGCAGGGGGAACCGCTTGGCTGCTCCCAAGAAATTGGGTTGCAAGCAGCCCTGCCAGTGTCGAACTCTGCATTCCTGTGCATAACGAAATTGTCCTACAAACATCGTCTTCTTGCCTGCCGTGATATCAAAATAATTATAAGAGGAACTTTGAAAAATAATTTCAACAGTTGGCACTTTGAAAGGATTCATGAATTTAAGCACAAACACAACCAAAATCAGGACAACTCCCATTACTGCCAGATTTGAAAGTTGATCAATGATATTAGAGTTATAAGTAGCTAAAGATATGATTGAAACATACAAGGGGAGAATTAAATAAAACCTACAAGCTGAACTTTCAAACTTTCAGCACATCAGGTTACAATTTTCATGCACAGAGGATCAATCTGCCTACCCCCTCCCCCGCAAAAAAAATAAAAAACAAAAAAGAAAACTAGAGAGAGACCAACTAAATGCCATCAACTTCTCCTCTCTATGTTCAAACAAAGTTGTGACGGCTATAGACCATAAATGATTCCAAAACGTCCCATGTTCCATCAATCTAAAAGACCTAAAAATAAACCCAAATGAAAATGAAATTTGGTCATGGGACAGCATGAAGTCACATGGATTTTATATGGAAGATGGCTTATGCCATAGGTCATTGCCACATGGTACTAAATTGTGCAATGAAAGCAAATAACGCATGGAAAACTCTCGAATGAAATCCTATCCCATTAAAATTCTCCTTGTCCAAACAAAGTTTTGATGGCAATAGATTGAACTATAAATGATTCCAAGATGTCCCAAAGGAAAATTCACATTAGGTCAAGGGACTACATGAAGTCATGGATTTCACCTGGAAGATGGCTTATGGCATATGTTTTCTCACCCTATGGTACGCAATAATGTTGTTCAAACACTGAGGGAAGCCTGTTGACTGAAACCTATCCTACTAAAATGATAAGTCCCAGTAAATCTATGAACCCCTTCCAAGTACAAATTTAGTCCCAATGAGATGGAACAGGACCACATTATATTTTCCATGTAAGCAACCCTCTGCATCATGTGGCCCAATAATGATGACAACAGGTACATTGCAACTAATTTTAGAGGAAACAGCTATAATGCGTTCCATATCCAACAAATGAAGGGAAACATGAAGAATTTTGCTTCTCATCATTGCTTCAGTCCTACACAGAGCAAGACATGCAAGAATAGGATTACCTCACAAATGGAATTCTGGAGATCCAGTAACCCAAGGTGAATGCCACTGCATGAAATATCAACACAGGACCAATCAATCTTAGACCCTCTGTGGAAAGAATTTGGCTCTGGTTAATTGCAAGAGGGCTGCCAATACACAACGAAGTACAAATCATTGCTACAAATGGCATCACCGGTTGAAGAACATCTACAACTGATTTTGCATAAGTATTGAGTACTAGGCCAAGAGTGACTGGCACAAGAACAACCTGGAAAAGCACTAATTTAGGAATAAGAATTAATCAGGAACAAGAAAATGTTGATCCATTTTAACGTGCAAATCTTTGTAATATGTTGAGTACCTGCAAAATAGACTTTGACATGGCAATTGCATCAACTGGAATGACAGATCCAATGAGAAGGCCAGTTAAAAGGGGAGTAACAAGAACCGATGCAATGGTGGTCGAGCTGGTCAAGAGAATGCTCAAAGCCACATCTCCTTTGCTCAAGAAGCTGGCATAGCTAGATAGCTGAGCCCCTGCAACGCAAGACATGAGTACAAAGCCAGCATAGAACATTGGAGACATCCTGAATGCTTGGGCTACTAACACCCCAAGCACTGGCTTAAGCAAGTACTGCCCAATAAGCCCAACGGATAGTGGTAAAGGTCTGCAACACACAAAATCAACAACAATAAAAGCCTAATTCAAAATTTCACCACCGAATTTGCACTATTAACAGCAATAATACTTCATATACAAAGCAGAGAAAAGATGTTACCTTTTCAAAGCAAGAGCAAAATCATCGATTGACAGTCGAAGACCGATGGACAACATGATTCCTCCCAGAGCAGGAGCATACAGTTCCTTTGAAACCCTGCATTTGTCTCAATTATACACAAACCAAACTATACAAATCTGATAAAAGTATCAACTGATAGACATATATGGTCCTCAAGTAACACCAAGGACAAGATATAGAGAGAATAAATATTTTCTATACTTTCAAAAGTATTTATTCAACTGGGAGAAACTAACTTTTCTAGTACAATAACTATGGACATAGAATCACTTGTAGGCCTCAAATAAAAGATAAGTATAAGTATGATTAATTGAAGTATTTAAAATCTTGAAAAACAAGAAATTTCCATTCTGAATTCAAATAATTTTCTCTTCAAACAAGATTACAAGTAGTAAAAGGTGCACACTATCCCCAAAAAAGAAACCATGGAAAACTGATATTTATTAAAGTAATAAGACAGTAACAAAACAAGTACTAAAATATGTAATGTAAAAAAATTATTAACCTTAAAACATATCTTAAGCAATTATAAAATCTTAAATGCTAAATAACTGATTGGAATTACATAAAAAAGCTAGAGAGAAAGGTCAATGGAAGGCTCACCAAGTGAAGGTTGAAGGCTGAGAAAGAGCGGCAATTGCAGTGAGAGCGACGACAAACGGAAGCATTGCCGACAAAATCTGTGAAGAATCAGCTTTTTCAGCGACTTCTTCTAATACACCACGAGGGTTTGCACCGAAGGACAAGAACGTGAAGTTACCATCTCTTGTGTGCAATCCGACTTTGCCAATAAACGGCGACGAAGTCGAGCACATGACCGCCGATAATGATCCGCCATTGGAACTCTTCGAAACTTTGATAGTCGGAGGGGAACGACGCTTATTCAAAACAAAAGAGAGAGAATTGGAGATTGAGTATGAAGTAGAAGTGGAATTAGAGAGGAAGAGACCTGGGTTGGAAGGGTTTGAGTGGAATTTGATTAGTGGCTTAAGAGAGAGGAATGGAATTGAGGTCATTTTTTTAAGAAGAGAAAGTGGGTTCTTGATGGGAGAGATTACACGGGTTTTAGTCTATTTTGACGTTGGCACCCTAGCTGAGGGATTGCGTTTTCAGGCAAGGGGACCAAGAAGAAGACGACGACTAGACTCCACCCTAGCGTAAGGAAGATGATGTGATAAAGAGAAAAATTGTCTATTTAATTACTTAATAACAATGATAGAGACATGTAGATCATGATGTTTCTTGAGATGGCCGTCTACTGTTCCCTGCCGGTAGGCCCGATAATTGAACCCGACTAGTGAAGTTCGACTCAAATTTAGAATGGATAAGGACCGAATTGTATTTTAACTTGTATTTTAAATGAGTTAAATCTGAATAAATTTTTAAATTTATTTAAAAAATAAATCTAAAAGATTCGGTTTGAACTTATAAAATTTGACTCGTTTCTATGTAAAATAATTAAACTATTTGAATTCGATTTGTTTTGAGCTTGACTCGGACTCGATTCATTTTATAACTGAACCAAACTTAAACAATCGCAAAACTCGATTCAATTATTAATATTATCAGCCGATCAAGAATTGGGTTCCAAGTCGTTGCTCTGCTACGTCTAGCCCACCATTCTAGTACCCGAAAAGATATTAAATCTTACAGATATCATGCACCCGATATGTCAAAGCACTTGTAACCCTGCAACTCGCACGTATCGAAAGAATGTTATATAGTTTTACTTTCTTGATTTTTGAATGGGAATTGAGATGATTGAGATTCTTTTTATTATATTTTTCATCGATTTTAGTTAAATATATATTATTTATTACAGTTAATCACTCTGTATTGGTGAGTAGTTCAATTATAAATATATTAAGTGATCTACTATTCAATAAAATTAAGTGAAAATATTATTAAGAGTTATAATTTTTTCTGGCACAAATTTTGTAAACACACTTTGCTGAATAAATGCTTGTGTTTTATCCCCCAACATCTCTCTCTCTCTCTCTCTCTCTCTCTCTCTCTCTCACACACACACACACAGGCACACAAAAACACAGACACACACACATAGTCTTCTCCGTCGTGTAAAAGGTGAGGCCACCGATGCAAGCAACACACTACATGGCTCTTCTTCCAGGGTGTCGATTGGTTTGGTTCCATCCAAAAATAGTCCACGCGGTGTTGCCGTCTTGGTCTGCCAAAAATGCCACACTTGAACATGTCTCATGCCTCCATATCGATAGAAATCACTCGCTTAATTGATCAGATTGCTATACCTATACTTCTGTACATCAATATTCTTGCGGGGTTCCAATTGGTAATTTTGCAGAGGCTTGCTGATCTATATGCTTGACCTTTGGATCAATAAGATCTTGTTTGTTCCTACTTTAATACAAAAAAAATACCGAGAGTGATGATTGATGAGTGGCCTGCTAGGCCTAACTCGTCAGCTTCCTCTAATGGTGAAAAAATTTGTCATAGTATTTGGAATAAAACATTTGATAATCCGTATCTCTGTTCCAAAATAAAAGGCTGCAATTTCCCTAATGGATACGCCCATAATGTTTTATTTTTGACAGCATAAACATAGATGAAAGATCTAATAGATATTACTAGGGAATATTTGCTAGTTTTGTCACAGAAATAAGTCGGCAGATTGTTTCCCACAGTCCCACCCACATTGTTAAGCAAGACATCATCATACTCAAATTTAGGTAATAGTTTTAGTTTCCATTGGAAATGGTTTCAATACAATAAGCAAAGCCCTTCACAATTCCCATGTAACATAATTTATGTCTACCTAACACATGAATAACTAGTTCAGTTAGCAAGCTTCATTGTTAAACATGTAATCCATCTTTTGTTTAATTGCACAAAGATGTCATATGAGCCAAGATGGTTGATCTCCTTTTCTTTTACTTCTCTTTTTTTTTTCCCCAAAACTAGACCGAACATGTTTGTAAAATTCTACATTTTAGCAGCAAGTTTGTTCCGCATAATAGATACCACAAATACGACACTCAAAAATAAAAAAAATAATAAAAAAATAACTTTTCGAAGATATACATTCCAGTGTTCTAAAAATGAATACCGATCAGACAAACCCAAGTCCAAGAGGCTTAATACCAAAATTTATTTATCCCAACACTGCTTTTTGCATAGATCAGTAGCCAAATTTGCAGCTCATAATGACAAGGTTCAGAAAAGGGAATACCATATTACCAAATACAAACAAAAATTAGTAAATAGCAGTGTTCAGAAAAAACCGAGAGAAAAAACAAGGTGATGGCAGTATAACCTAACAGAAATTTAGCAAATGAATTGTGTAATACCTCAACTATTGCAGAGATGGAAATAGAAGAAAGAAAGCAATTTTATTTTCATTTCTTCCACCATGGAAGTATGTATATCTCATTGTCTAACACTAGTACTACAAAAAGAGAATCGAATCAACAACCATTTTTATGTCCACATTCATAATGAATTCAATTTACAAAACAAACTTGTGCAGTTTTATCACCCTGACTCGATGCTCCTGTATCCATACATCATGCGTCTTTTTAACCTTTTCTAAGATGCCGATGACTTTCATATTGCCTTCTGCTGACCTTCTTCACAATCCAATTCACCAGTAATTTTTGCCTAGACAAGGAGCTGGGAAGACTACTTTCCAGACTCTGAAGGCTGAACTATACAAGAAACCGCAAGCAAGCACTCTGAAATGAATAGAACTCCTGACTTGATTGGTTGTTGTGCATCCTGAATCATCATCTTAGACCCTCACAATTCACAAAATAGCCCTTGAGAATGCTTTCTGATGAAGTCGGTATCGGAGCTGAGCCAGTTGACCCTGCATATAAAGAAGCAAAATATATTAGCCCCAATTTTCTTTGTATACATGACAGCACTCAACTGCTAAGTCGTATGCTATAAAATAAGATCAGAGTTACAAACTGAAACAATCATAACTCATACAATGCATAACATGCAGCAGAAAAGAAAAAAACAATAAAACTTAGATCATCCATTCTAGAAATCCTGCAACCTACAATCAATCAAATAAGTTACAAAACTACAACCAATACCCAGAATGCAAAGAGATCATCGAATTTACAAGGAACTATCTCAATCTTTGAAAACTATGCACTACCAAGGAATGAACCCGATTCACTTTCTTCATAGATTAACTAATTCTTCAATGAAAAACACCAACAAGCTTCTCATTAATTACCACATCAAGACCAATAATTTTGAAATTAAAAAAGTTTGATGCCCAAAAGGCATAGACAAAACTATCCAAGCACAAAACAGTAAATTGGCATATGAAAGAGATAAGAAAGACCTTAGATAAAGTCTCAGCTTTGGACCTCCCACTTTGAAGATCATCCAGCTGAGCAACCATACAATCCCGCGGCGTTTCAAAGGAAGACAGAGAAAATTGCTTAGAGACAACACCAACATCAAAGTAAATCAATCCAGAAGTGGGTACATCAACCCGAATTTCCTTCACAGGGAACCACAGAAACAAATCTTGGGCAGAAATACCAGACAACCCATCGATCTGCCCATAGCTCAAATTGCCAGAAACATTTGTATCGTAGTGTAATTCATTCTCAAACTTGGCATTGCAAGCCTGATCCAAATGGACCTCAAAGTTTCCAGAATCGTCCAAAGTGAAGTCCGTCACACCCTTTGGAAGCAAACCCATAGGAAGCCCATTGGATCGAAGAACATCGTATATAGATGATTCCTCAGATTTTAATACCCAGAAATGGGTTGACAAAGAACACAGAAGAAGAGAAAGTACTATGAAGGATTGAGGAAGCATGTTGTCGAATTGGGTTGTGTTATAGCATAGGGATTGTGACGTGGGTATAGGTCGTTGAGGGTATGAGTTATAGATTAGGGTTAGGGTTTAACGGACTAGAGGGCAGAGAAGAAGAGAGAGACAAGAGGAGGGAGAATCGCTCAAGCAGTAGAAGTCATAGTTGCCAGCGGGAATACAGAGAGGATTAGGAGAATTATCAATTATTGGTGGTGAGAGTGGGGTCCTTAGAGAAGGTTTCTATCTTCTACGGACGGCGAGTAATGTTTAAACACGTATATTGGCTGGAGGAGAAGAGACTTCAGTGAGAAAGGGACACGGAGGGAGTGGGCCCAAGGTTGAAAACTTGAACTGTTCAGTTGTCAACGAATCAGATTAAAATTCGATTTCAAAGCTATTTATATTGGAATTTGATTTAAAATCTTTAATTGTTCAATCAATTTTGTTTTAATAGTTTTTATTTATATTGGAATTTGAATAACTCAAGGAAAATTGAATTTTAAATATTCAAATTTTAAAACATTGAAATATAATTTCACAGTTTCGAATTTAAATAATTAGTTAAAATGTCAATTTATATTCAAATAAAAATATTTAAATATTGAGCATAACGGTTATGCAACATCAAAAGTATCACGTAACATAACTTTGTCTATTAATAAGAAAACAAGTAGCCAATCAAGCTCTANTGAATAAATTTTTAAATTTATTTAAAAAATAAATCTAAAAGATTCGGTTTGAACTTATAAAATTTGACTCGTTTCTATGTAAAATAATTAAACTATTTGAATTCGATTTGTTTTGAGCTTGACTCGGACTCGATTCATTTTATAACTGAACCAAATTTAAACAATCGCAAAACTCGATTCAATTATTAATATTATCAGCCGATCAAGAATTGGGTTCCAAGTCGTTGCTNTTCCCCAAAACTAGACCGAACATGTTTGTAAAATTCTACATTTTAGCAGCAAGTTTGTTCCGCATATTAGATACCACAAATACGACACTCAAAAATAATAAAAATAATAAAAAAATAACTTTTCGAAGATATACATTCCAGTGTTCTAAAAATGAATACCGAGCAGACAAACCCAAGTCCAAGAGGCTTAATACCAAAATTTATTTATCCCAACACTGCNGATATTAAATCTTACAGATATCATGCACCCGATATGTCAAAGCACTTGTAACCCTGCAACTCGCACGTATCGAAAGAATGTTATATAGTTTTACTTTCTTGATTTTTGAATGGGAATTGAGATGATTGAGATTCTTTTTATTATATTTTTCATCGATTTTAGTTAAATATATATTATTTATTACAGTTAATCACTCTGTATTGGTGAGTAGTTCAATTATAAATATATTAAGTGATCTACTATTCAATAAAATTAAGTGAAAATATTATTAAGAGTTATAATTTTTTCTGGCACAAATTTTGTAAACACACTTTGCTGAATAAATGCTTGTGTTTTATCCCCCAACATCTCTCTCTCTCTCTCTCTCTCACACACACACACACACAGGCACACAAAAACACAGACACACACACATAGTCTTCTCCGTCGTGTAAAAGGTGAGGCCACCGATGCAAGCAACACACTACATGGCTCTTCTTCCAGGGTGTCGATTGGTTTGGTTCCATCCAAAAATAGTCCACGCGGTGTTGCCGTCTTGGTCTGCCAAAAATGCCACACTTGAACATGTCTCATGCCTCCATATCGATAGAAATCACTCGCTTAATTGATCAGATTGCTATACCTATACTTCTGTACATCAATATTCTTGCGGGGTTCCAATTGGTAATTTTGCAGAGGCTTGCTGATCTATATGCTTGACCTTTGGATCAATAAGATCTTGTTTGTTCCTACTTTAATACAAAAAAAATACCGAGAGTGATGATTGATGAGTGGCCTGCTAGGCCTAACTCGTCAGCTTCCTCTAATGGTGAAAAAATTTGTCATAGTATTTGGAATAAAACATTTGATAATCCGTATCTCTGTTCCAAAATAAAAGGCTGCAATTTCCCTAATGGATACGCCCATAATGTTTTATTTTTGACAGCATAAACATAGATGAAAGATCTAATAGATATTACTAGGGAATATTTGCTAGTTTTGTCACAGAAATAAGTCGGCAGATTGTTTCCCACAGTCCCACCCACATTGTTAAGCAAGACATCATCATACTCAAATTTAGGTAATAGTTTTAGTTTCCATTGGAAATGGTTTCAATACAATAAGCAAAGCCCTTCACAATTCCCATGTAACATAATTTATGTCTACCTAACACATGAATAACTAGTTCAGTTAGCAAGCTTCATTGTTAAACATGTAATCCATCTTTTGTTTAATTGCACAAAGATGTCATATGAGCCAAGATGGTTGATCTCCTTTTCTTTTACTTCTCTTTTTTTTTTCCCCAAAACTAGACCGAACATGTTTGTAAAATTCTACATTTTAGCAGCAAGTTTGTTCCGCATAATAGATACCACAAATACGACACTCAAAAATAAAAAAAATAATAAAAAAATAACTTTTCGAAGATATACATTCCAGTGTTCTAAAAATGAATACCGATCAGACAAACCCAAGTCCAAGAGGCTTAATACCAAAATTTATTTATCCCAACACTGCTTTTTGCATAGATCAGTAGCCAAATTTGCAGCTCATAATGACAAGGTTCAGAAAAGGGAATACCATATTACCAAATACAAACAAAAATTAGTAAATAGCAGTGTTCAGAAAAAACCGAGAGAAAAAACAAGGTGATGGCAGTATAACCTAACAGAAATTTAGCAAATGAATTGTGTAATACCTCAACTATTGCAGAGATGGAAATAGAAGAAAGAAAGCAATTTTATTTTCATTTCTTCCACCATGGAAGTATGTATATCTCATTGTCTAACACTAGTACTACAAAAAGAGAATCGAATCAACAACCATTTTTATGTCCACATTCATAATGAATTCAATTTACAAAACAAACTTGTGCAGTTTTATCACCCTGACTCGATGCTCCTGTATCCATACATCATGCGTCTTTTTAACCTTTTCTAAGATGCCGATGACTTTCATATTGCCTTCTGCTGACCTTCTTCACAATCCAATTCACCAGTAATTTTTGCCTAGACAAGGAGCTGGGAAGACTACTTTCCAGACTCTGAAGGCTGAACTATACAAGAAACCGCAAGCAAGCACTCTGAAATGAATAGAACTCCTGACTTGATTGGTTGTTGTGCATCCTGAATCATCATCTTAGACCCTCACAATTCACAAAATAGCCCTTGAGAATGCTTTCTGATGAAGTCGGTATCGGAGCTGAGCCAGTTGACCCTGCATATAAAGAAGCAAAATATATTAGCCCCAATTTTCTTTGTATACATGACAGCACTCAACTGCTAAGTCGTATGCTATAAAATAAGATCAGAGTTACAAACTGAAACAATCATAACTCATACAATGCATAACATGCAGCAGAAAAGAAAAAAACAATAAAACTTAGATCATCCATTCTAGAAATCCTGCAACCCACAATCAATCAAATAAGTTACAAAACTACAACCAATACCCAGAATGCAAAGAGATCATCGAATTTACAAGGAACTATCTCAATCTTTGAAAACTATGCACTACCAAGGAATGAACCCGATTCACTTTCTTCATAGATTAACTAATTCTTCAATGAAAAACACCAACAAGCTTCTCATTAATTACCACATCAAGACCAATAATTTTGAAATTAAAAAAGTTTGATGCCCAAAAGGCATAGACAAAACTATCCAAGCACAAAACAGTAAATTGGCATATGAAAGAGATAAGAAAGACCTTAGATAAAGTCTCAGCTTTGGACCTCCCACTTTGAAGATCATCCAGCTGAGCAACCATACAATCCCGCGGCGTTTCAAAGGAAGACAGAGAAAATTGCTTAGAGACAACACCAACATCAAAGTAAATCAATCCAGAAGTGGGTACATCAACCCGAATTTCCTTCACAGGGAACCACAGAAACAAATCTTGGGCAGAAATACCAGACAACCCATCGATCTGCCCATAGCTCAAATTGCCAGAAACATTTGTATCGTAGTGTAATTCATTCTCAAACTTGGCATTGCAAGCCTGATCCAAATGGACCTCAAAGTTTCCAGAATCGTCCAAAGTGAAGTCCGTCACACCCTTTGGAAGCAAACCCATAGGAAGCCCATTGGATCGAAGAACATCGTATATAGATGATTCCTCAGATTTTAATACCCAGAAATGGGTTGACAAAGAACACAGAAGAAGAGAAAGTACTATGAAGGATTGAGGAAGCATGTTGTCGAATTGGGTTGTGTTATAGCATAGGGATTGTGACGTGGGTATAGGTCGTTGAGGGTATGAGTTATAGATTAGGGTTAGGGTTTAACGGACTAGAGGGCAGAGAAGAAGAGAGAGACAAGAGGAGGGAGAATCGCTCAAGCAGTAGAAGTCATAGTTGCCAGCGGGAATACAGAGAGGATTAGGAGAATTATCAATTATTGGTGGTGAGAGTGGGGTCCTTAGAGAAGGTTTCTATCTTCTACGGACGGCGAGTAATGTTTAAACACGTATATTGGCTGGAGGAGAAGAGACTTCAGTGAGAAAGGGACACGGAGGGAGTGGGCCCAAGGTTGAAAACTTGAACTGTTCAGTTGTCAACGAATCAGATTAAAATTCGATTTCAAAGCTATTTATATTGGAATTTGATTTAAAATCTTTAATTGTTCAATCAATTTTGTTTTAATAGTTTTTATTTATATTGGAATTTGAATAACTCAAGGAAAATTGAATTTTAAATATTCAAATTTTAAAACATTGAAATATAATTTCACAGTTTCGAATTTAAATAATTAGTTAAAATGTCAATTTATATTCAAATAAAAATATTTAAATATTGAGCATAACGGTTATGCAACATCAAAAGTATCACGTAACATAACTTTGTCTATTAATAAGAAAACAAGTAGCCAATCAAGCTCTATAAAATTCAATAACCATTTTATATAAAGATGTGAAGTTTATTTTATCTATTTTTGAACTTTTTTATTTTATTGTTATACGACGTGACACTACAACTGTGTTATAACTAATACATTGAATATTGAGTATTGAGAGAGAAAGAGAAAGAGAGATTTTGTTTTGACATATGGAAGTGCAACCAAAGAAAGTTTTCAATTTTTTTTTAATTTAACGAATAGTGCTATTTAGGTCAATTTTCACGTATGTCGATCAATTTTTTCTCTGATTTGATCAAAGATAGGTTATTCACTTTGGAACAAATTCCTCACAATCTGACTCTAAAAAATTATCAAAATTCAAACTCAAAATATTTAAATTTATAATTCATCTTTGTTACTATTTGAATAGCATGGTTTAAGAAAAATATTTCTCATTAGTTAGCTGTAAATGATCAAAATAGATAAACTTTAGTTAACCAAAGCCAAAGTCATGATTCAACAAATGTTGTTCATATACTCTAAAATAGATTTTTGCTACAGTGAATATAGAGTATCAGTGTAGTAACTTGCAAATATATTTTATATTATTTTATCTCTCTTCCTCTCCTTTCTTTCATTCTCTCTCTTTCTCCCTTTCATTATTCTAAAAAAAATAATATAAAAATAAGGAGAAATAATATTTAAAAGAAGTAGTTAAAAAAATAGAAAATTTGTTAGAGTGTGTATTAAAAAAAGCGAGTAGTTAAAATAAAAAAAATATATTTTTTGAGTAGCTAAAATGTAATTTATTGTTAGAGATGCTCTTGTGCCGGAAAAAAGGGAACAATCCAAGAATGAGTATAGTATATGGCAGTTGACGTATGTGCAGAAAGAGGAAGGGGAATGTGAAAATGGAAAAGCGTGAGGCTGTCCACCACCATGGATCATGATGTTGTCTATGTCATATTTCACTTTAACAGGCTAAGTTATGGAACTAGAGAGGTCATATGCAACATTGATGAGTAATTGTTTCAAGTTTTTTGCCGAATTTTTGAATGTTTGTTGTTGCTTATGTATGGTTAGATTGGGCATGACAAGCAAGTCCAAATTTGCATTATTTGGCCAAAAGGCCAACTAGGTGCATTAATTTTCAAATTTTGCTGCCCAAATTCCATCTCTAACATCTTCTTTTTATGCAGGGTTTTAATTATACATTCTTTAAACTTACGGTTATAATATGAATTAGAAATACGTTCAACTATTCACAAACCGTGCACAACAAATTAATCAATATGAAATTTTAACTGAAGATCTTGAGATAATCATCGACGATATAGACTTGATTTTTTATTTGATTAAAACAAGTAATTATTCTCGTATTCAAGTCCTCTTATAATTCAATCCCGCCACAACGATCGTAGGAGATATTGGTTGTGGGATAGTATAAATTTCTGAATTACATCTATCAAGTTCCTTATTTCGCCAAAATTATAAACCCAATTTCTATAACACATTTTAGGATAACAATGTGTAATAAATCTAAAATCAGATTATTAGTTTGTCTGGTAAAATTTAGCATCCAATAACTCCAAATTGGAAGATAATGACTGATTTTAACCCACATATTATGTAAGACAATTTATTTACTATATAAGGAGAAACAGAGCATATGAGGCAGCTTGGGTATCATTTCTACTCATGGTACTAAACACTTGGTGGAAATAAAATAAAAATGATGATGGGCCAAAGTGGCAGTGCTTGGTATTGAAATTGAAGCTCAAGAAAACAAGAGGCTTTGCTGGCAACAGCCCTTTTTTTTTTCTTGTTTTTGTTTTGGTTGTTATTGTTGGTTAGACACTATTACAGAAAGGATAACAATGAGATTCAAACTCGTAATTTTAAAGTTCAACAACGAGATTTAAACTCGCAATTTTAAAATTTAATAACGAGAACGATAGAAATTAGACTAATCGAAAATTGACCAACTAGGGTTCATTAACCTTTTCATACCTACGGAATCTTAATTAAATTGGAGGGGATAAGAAGATTTATGCTCATTGAACTTCAAGTCAAAGGTTAAAAGAAAAAAAAAAATGAGAGAGAAAATCAATTTCTCTAGCATTCATGGATTGAAATCTCTCTAGTTGTGTTTTTTTTCAATTTTTGTTATTGATAGATCATTCATTGTGTGTGAGTGAAGAAAAAGAGTTTCACTCTGAAGTAGGTCTTACATAAAGTGTGCCCCAATCCATACACGTAAGTGACGATTAAAGAAATTTGAAGAAAAATATAAGGGATGAGATGAATGATTTTCAGACTCCATGATTGTGCTGGGTTTGGACTTTGGAATTGCTATAATTTATGCTCCACTACCGAAGACAAAGACATTGATTAACGCAATTCCAAATTAGACCAAGCTAGTATTAAACTAGGTTGACCACATGGTATGAGCACTAGTTCAATTCCCTAAACTTAGGGCCCGCTGGAAATGGGATGAACCTCTCTTAAAGCTAGAAACTTGAAATGGTACCTTAAATGATAGCTCAAGTAATAATAGGTGATGGACTCTGATTTAATTGGGTTAGACCTAATAAATCATGTAAGTCCAAATTAACTAAAAGGTAAGTCAAATTCAATTTGTGAATTCGACTTAACCCAAGGTCTAAGGAATCTAAGGAATTCAAGAATAATTAGAGCACGCGATGAGTAATTATTGGAATACTCACTCTAACAAATTAAGACAACATTTTATGGCACTTTATCTTTTGTAACTACACAGAAAATTAGTACATTTGCCCTCACGTCACCGCTTTAACCAAAATTTTGTGCCTATAAATTATAAGTTCTATCTACATGAGATGAGACCTCTTGATTAATCTCTACATTTCTCTATACACCCTACACATAACTTCTCTCTCTCCTAGCTATTGTATTCTCTCGGAGCTAATCATTACTCTCTCTCTCTCTCATTCATCTTACTTTATCAATAAAGGTGCTTAGCCACCGTTGCCGTTTTTCAGAGTGGAGTAGGTTACCTGCATCGAACCACTATATATGTGTGTGTTGATCCGATATTTACATTATTATCATTGATTACTCTATTAATTGTCCATTAATTACACTTTATCACACATTCGACTGTTAGTCTTGCATAAGTCTGTTTTGTGCATCATCAAGAGAAACGAGTTATAAATTCAGATATCTAGAGTTTGAATCTTAATAATTTCGTGAGATCAGGGTATGAGAAAATTATCTTTAATGAATATCTTAGTCTTGGCATAGATGACTTACTTTTAACCAAACCATGAAAAAAATTAATCGAAGTGTACCTAAGTTAACTCAAACACCCTTAACCGTTAAACAAAAAAAAAAAAAAACTTGAAATGGTGGTAGCTAGGGATTTGATATTATAATATTCATTCATTACTAGGGGTGCAATTTGGGTGGGCCAAGTCGAGCCCGACCTAAAAAAAAAAAATAAGGCTTGGGTTGAGGTTTTAAAATTTTAGGTTGGGCTTAGGTTTAAAAATTCTAAACTGAATTGAATTCGGGCAATACCTGAGTTGAGGCTTCGAATTATCAGGTTCAACCCGAATCTGACAAATTAAAAATAAAATAAAATAAAATAAAATAAAATAAAAAATATATATATATATATATATATATACAACTAGGGTTCCTTTATGCGCCTCTGCCTCTCTCATTCTCTCAATCTCTGTCACTCTCTTTCTCTCGACCTCCCTCACTTCGTCCATCAACCTCTCTCACTTTGCCTTTCTCTCATATTTGTAAAGACCTCAACGAAGACCTCAAAAGAAGTTCATTGATCTGTACCTTTCTATCAGATCTGTCCTTCTCTTTCTTGTGGTTATTGTGGTTGTAGTGTGGTGACAATGGGTAGTGGGTTGTGGTTGTGCTATGATGTTTTGGATTTTTTGGTTTAATTTCTTGTGTTGTGTTATAAAGCAACTTAAATTTAAACCCAAATTAACTCGAATTAAGTAACTTATATTCAACTCGAGCCTGTTTGATTTCAACTTGGGCAGTACTTGGAATGAGTACATCGGGTTGAAATTGAGTTAAGATTAAAGTTGAAGATTATATACTTAAAATTGGATTAGGATTGACCTCTCAACACGTTCAACCCATTCGAGTTGCATTCCTATTCATTAGTAATAGTGTGATCCACAAGATTTACATTCCTAAAGGAGCACATTTTCTTGAAAATAAATAGGGTTGAAGACATAAGGGGAGAGTAATCACATTGGTAACATAAAGAAATTTATAAATTTGAAAAATATCTTTCAATATAATAATTCAAAATGTTGGATGATTAAAAAAAAGAGAAAATTATACCAT